ACACACACACAGTCACACACACACAGTCACACACACAGTCACACGTAATATGGTAGAGCAGTTGTTAATCCCTCATGCTACTAGAGAACCAAACAGTATATAAATGCAGAACGATAATAAACAAGCATGCAGTACTGCGAGTTTATTTATTTATCATAAGAGCAGCCAAATGCTGGTTTGCTTTTGTTTTACAAGAAACTGTTTTTCTGTTCACTGCAACTTTTAAATCCAAATTTAATATTCTTTAGCGAATTTGAGCAATTATATCTCTTTCTTGATGTGGTTTATTACTGCCTTTAGTGAGGCGAAATAAGGTGAGTTCATGTTCATTGGTTGGAAATCATGTGTAATTCAACCACACCTTTGTGGTTATGAGTATAGTCTTTCCAGTAAAATTCATATATGTCTTCTATCCTTCCTGTGGTTGAACATGTTTTGTAGATCAGTGAACAGAAAAAAAAATAATTAAGGCATTACAATGCTGCAGTCAAATAAAATATTTTCTTTTTTGTTCCGGAAAACACAGTATTTATGTTTTTTATTTCTTTCTTTAATTTAATAAATGTTTTTTTACATTTTGCTTAAATTTGATGTGATTGTTTTACCTTGCTCTCCAAATATTTCATTTGCTTTAAGAGACTGTAATGAGATAATATACTTAGCAAAATGTGTTAGTGTTCAAATTTAATTTAGGCTATATATACTTTGGGGAAGATGAAATTTATCTCACATAAAATAATTGAAATTTTCATTTGTCTTAAAATGGTAATGAAATTAAATTTAAAATTAAAAAAAAAATTAAATTATTAAACAATTATTTCGCATCAAAGCTCGACTAAATTAAGAATTCAACAATACTAGTATTAGCTACTGAATGTTTCATAAAGAGTATGCACTGGAGGAACTATTATCATCACAAAATTGAATCATTCGTACCAATATGAACCCTAATTTTTTGTAGTTGTTAAAAGAACCCAACCACATCCGCTGCTGTTTACAAAACTCTGCAGATGCTTCTATTACCTTCAAATTTCAAATTAAGTGAGGCAGGTGAGACGGATCAAAAAGTCACCTCTGTTAACGACCATTGCTATTTCAATACCAATTTTTGTGTTATGTGAGATGTGTTAACGACCACCTCTGTAAAATATCACTGCTTTCATCAGTGTGTGTTTGACACAGGGTGTCTCACCAGTTGTCACTTCTATTCCCTGCAGTTAATCTTAACCAAGCTGCAGTTTACTATGCACGTGATTTTGCTTGTCTTCCCTTGAACTTGATTTGCTGCATGTATCAAATGCATGAATTCTAAATTGATGTTTCATATTGAGAAGAAACAACCCTCCTCTAGCAGACATTTCTTTACTTATGGAGAATACGCACAAAATGCACTGTTGATAAATCTATTGTTGCAAAAGATGATGTTGACAAAAAAGATTGGAGGTATTTTTAAAATGTCTTAGGTGCTTGTTGTAGTGTATCTCCAAAACATCAATGATCTGTTTCAAATATGCAGATTTTAGACTTCGACCAGATCAGTGAGGGAATATCGTTTTTCGTGAAAATGCTTTGCACTATTTAGGTGCTATTTTTCATGTACAGAAGCTATCAAAACTTTTTGTGTGTTTTGCGAAATGTATCAATTTTTATTCATATTATAAAATAAACCATTGGGTCATATTTTCTTTCAAGACCAAGTGCAAACTTTCTACCACAAAATTTTAGAACTGGGACTATGGTTACAAAATATATGATATTGATGATTAAATCAAAAGTGCAAAATTATTGCCAACATTTCGCTAATTCTCCTAATGGCATGTAGTGTCTTCTAATAATGAAAATTGTCTTAGATAATTTGAAATTAATTAAAGTTTTTTAAATATTTAGACATTTGCAAGTACAGCTACAAATTCGGATGTATATTTGACACTAAAATAATATTAATTATTTTAGGGTAATTAAATATTAGTTTTTTGAGCTTTGCTCAAGCTTTTTTAATAATTATTTCTTTTTATGTCTGGGAGTAAACATCAGGAATTACATGTGGAATTTCTGTACAGAATTCTGATTCAGGAACAGATAAAATAGTGTTTATCAGTCTTTGTCATTGTGGCATTCATGATTTCATTTTCATTCTTAATGTCTTACCATTGAGGAAAACACTTTCTTGTGGATTTAAATATTAATGACTAGGCGTTATTCTTTAACACAAGATTTTCAATAATTTATTACATACTCACTTGGTTCAAAAGCTTCTTTGGCAGTTTTTATGTTCCATGGAGGAAATGCCCCTTCTTGGTATATGTTGGTCTTGAATGGCAAATGCAGTACTGATTATCAAGATCTCTTAACCTGGAAAAAAACATGTTGACACCTCTCTCCTCCACTCTGTATATATCGGATTTGAAAGATTGAGTTCAAAACAAGTGTAAAATTTAGTGATTTTGAAATGTTTTTGAGAGAGAATAAATATTCATATCTATCTAAAGAATATATTTTGTCCTCAATTATCATACAGGTTTAACATTCAGAATTAAAATAACAAACAGTTTTTATCTTCTTGAAACCTCTTGCATCATGAATATCAAACTTCATGCCACTATTTAGTATGTTTTAATTAAAATCAGATTAAGAAACTTTCCAAACAAGTGGTCAGACATAGTAAACTTCTACAAAAAACTTTGTGTTGAACTCCTGAGGTTTGAAAACAAACTTCATGTTTTACTGACCTAAACTAGTCAGTGAGCAACATTGTTATGTATTTACAAGGTAACTTGCAATGAAGCTCTTTCTTGACAATCCCAATGATTTCTATCTTGTTTCTTAGTGTGCTGTATTCCAAAATTATGTTTGTAATTGTATTTTGATCCATACAATTGCTGTATCTAGTGATCCTGATTTTTCTATTTATTCTGATCGAAGAATCGTCACATTCTGGAGACATTTCATTCAGCAATGTCCGTTCAGGAATCAGGTCATATAGCATTACTACTTCTTGTCAAACCTGAATGTATAAAAATTGATGGAATCCTTACAATCATTTCCAGTGGTTAGTTCTAGAGCATCATTTTTGTAATTCTTCTTAGGAGGACTCACCTGCTTTTAAATCTAGATTATGGGTGAGCAACATTAATTTCTGGGTGACAGTGGTTATGCTAGTTGGAGCATGATTGCACTAAAACAGCAAAAATTCTCCAATTTAGGTACCATATGTTTAGTTAGTACAATATTTCTTTCATTTGTAAATAATTACTATTGTGGATCATAATCGTGTTAAAATTTCCTTGCTTTAAATACTATTACGATACGAGAGAGTGTTCCGTGTACCTGCTGCAGACTTGGATAACTCCATGCTGCTACCTATGTGCTACAATGGTAAGCCTTAATGATGACAAACTAAGCTGCCAGCAGAGCAGGTCATTGAGATAGTATTAGCTTCATAAAAACCTGGTGAGAGGGTCAAACCTGACAGAGCAAGTGAATGACCTTCTTTAACCAATACTAGTTATTGGCTGACTCCCAGAGGCATGGGGGTGATCAAAGTTATGAAATGGGTAAAACAAATGCATTTATTTTGTTAGTTAAAGATAATTATTCAAACATGCTTCAGTGAATTTCACTTTAAAGTTAAAATCAATTTCAGTGTTTTTTACAAGCATTGTATGTGGGCAATTCTCCGTGTGATGCACGGGACATTCATAGATATTTATTCCAATGTAATTTTATTAGATTTGATGATAGCTCTTTCCCATAATTTTTTAATGCTTTACAATTCAAGAGTTAATCAAAATATGACAGAATAAAATGTGTAACCACATTTATTATATACACAAAGAACAAGAAATGTCTTGAGACGCGTGGACTCAGAAAAATCACTATTTTACACATTCGATAAAATTATTTATTTTTTCTGTGAAATATAAAAGATTCTTAAAAGTTTTGGAAAAAAATATTAAGTATATTCATAGTTTATGCCAATGCACTAAACAACTGTCATTATATCATCGAATCAAATTTGTTATTATTTGTTTTGTTTGTAACGCACGGGACGTTTGAAAAGTGATGTACGGGACATTTTTATCTGTGAAATTTCCTGCATGTAAAAATTACGTGCCTGACAAAATAAATCTGCAGTTACCAATTGTTTCTGTTTAAATTTGTTATATTTTTGGATTGTGTGCTATCGTTTTGAATTTTTGTAGCGATTTTGAACAATAACTAAGTTTGAAAAGGTAAGAATATTAAATTAATTCTTAGTATTCTTAAAAAGAACCTTAAAATAGTCCTTACTGATAAATAATAGTTCACAATTTCAGAGTATTATGGCAAAAGTGAACAAGAAGAAAGATAGGGAAAGAGCTAAAGAATACAGGGCAAAGCATGCAGAGAAGGTAATGGCACGCACATTGCAGATAGATTTTGCAATGAACTACAGTTGTGAATATCAAAATGAAGTACAGAGTGCTCTATGGAGCAGAGAAAGAGTAACATTATTCACTACAACTTCTACACTTAATGGAAAATTCCAAATATATATCATATGTTCAGTTTCATCATTTTAAGAAAAAAACTGCATTGACCTTTCTTTCAAAACTGTATGACATTGTGGCCTTTGAAGACTAAGATCATCTTATAATCCTCTTAGGAAGTTCGTAAAGTAATAAAACCACCTGGGTCAGTAAATTCCAGAGAACAATACAAGTTTGAAAATGTTACATTTTATATTTGTGAGGTATGGGACACATAAATAAATGTTACTGTTACATAATAAACAAAACAATTCTGTAATTTATTTATCATACAAAAATTGTTACCTGTTACTAAAAGTGAATTACAGTTTGTAAGTTCATTGCAGTCATCAATTCTTAAGTTTATTAGAAATTTTGTGTTATTCGTGATGTACGGAACACTAGTGTATGGATGTTAAAAACTGAATGTTAGAGGCACAATGATATAGCTTTTAAAAATGTCATATATGAAGAAGAATACTTGTTTTGTTAGCTTTTATAATATTGCAACTAAAAATGTTTGGTGTAATTAGATACATTTTTATAAATGTTCACGTTTACAGTCAAAGAAGTAGTTTTTGATTTCCCTCGTGTAAACAATTTTTACAAAGAATATTTCTCATAGAAAGTTGGAAAATATCAGCACTCATTTTGTGTCACAACATTTTAAGTGTGTTCTATACTATAAAGACAACAAAAAAAATTTTTGTTCAAATATGAAATTTGATATCTTGGTGTCACTTTCCAGAGAATTGCCCATGTTTAACAAAAACTTGATTTGTGTCCTCTGAGACTGGTTAAATGCCACCTGTCCTTTAAATCATGGGGAGTTCTTGGCTGCTTTCAAGTACTCTCAGTGCCTCATAGACTGATAGATTAGTCAGTGGAAATAACTTGGCCATTCTGTGTTGTTTTTTTTTACACTATCTTCTGAAGTTCAGAGTTGCCACCGTTGGTTAATGAATAGAATTAATTTAATGCTTTTTATAAGGAAATTGCTAACATGTTTGGTGCTTTAATTTTGTATTGAACAAGTTCACCCAATTTTGTGGGCGTTTGTCATGATTATAGTGATTATTTGCCTGGCAAGTTTTAAGGCATACTGTTTGGATCTATTATTTCAATTCTAAGATGAATAAGCCCCTCATCTTTTCTGATTCTTCTGTGCACATTTGAACTATTTTGAATCAGGGAAGTTGCCAAATTGTTTCTGTTCTTTTGGAACCGCCTTGTCAATCATGAAAGGACTTCTTTGTGAAGATTTTCTGTACTTTGAAAACTGGATTGACTAGGTAATCTGCAATAATTATTTGAGCACATTCATTCATCCTGCTTAACAATATTTTCAAGAAATCATTAGATACCAAATGTTAATAATATATCAGTAAGTGGGGGCACTCAAACCCAATGATTTAAGAACAGCTCATTACTTTGGAAAAACATATTCTCAATATTCAATTAGAGAAACATCATTACAGATTGGATCACAGTGACAGTGTCAAATTTACCACTAAATATATTTTCAATTGGGATCAACCATATCGGTATTTCACACTTCACACTTAAGTGTTTCATCCAGGCAGCATGACATTTTCAGCTACTGCTTTTTGAATGTCCCCAGAAATGCTGTATACATTTGCTGAACACAACTAATGCATTTTTAACATCATCTCTAACAATGAAACCATAATTAATTAGTTTCATTCTGAAAATTAGCATTATTCAATAGTTCAATTTTCCCCAAGAATATTTTCCAACAAAACTTATATCCCCAGTGGCTGAAACACTTGCGACAACTTTATTCAAAAACATTCACATTTTTTTAAACTGCTTTTAGTGTTGAGCTAAAAATTGGTATTGGTCAAATGCTTTACAATATGGAAAGTTGTGTAATGCATAGCTTTTCTGCCTTCTAAATCTCTTATGCAAAGCATCAGGCACAAAAGAGGTGTGAAACATTGTGTTATTAGCCGCGTTTCTCCTTTGTTTGTGAAGCATCTGATTTTAACCTCTACATTAATTAATTTTCAACTTAATATCTATGTAGCTACTTTTTGGCCAGCTTTTCAAAATGCTCCTGCATAACTTATAACATTTTCATAACCATTGAATGACACCCACTGCTACTGATCCCCAGCATATTTTGACTTGCCTCTGTTTGGTTACTGCTTGCTCAAAAATATTACTTGTTACAAACATAGTATGTGCACCTTATTCTTCTTTCCAAATACTTAGGTAAAATAGAGTTGTGTAATCTTAGTACTTGCACTATTGATCTTCCCTAACTTGTATTTCCTGTGACATTTTAATACTTTTTTGTGCAAGTCACTTCAGGCGAGTACAAGGCTGTTTATTTCATTGCAGGGGCTGCTGATCGTGTGAAGTTTCCCACTACCCCTCCCCCTTGTCGAAGGCACCAGACTGGGCTAGCAGGTGCTGCTTTACTGCCTGAAACATATCCACTCACAAAGAGCAAGTCCCATGAATCACAGCTAGGAAACAGAGTAGAAGGTTCAGAAGGTGGGAGTGGAAGGTAAGTCGTAGTTTAACTTATATCTTGTTTTTACATTTAAATAATTACTGAAGCTGTTGCGTAGTAACAAAATATTGATATGAATTAAATTGAAATGTTTTCCACTGTGACAGTTTGGTTATGTATAAGGTGTGAGAATTGATATTCAGAGCAATTTCAAATTTGAATCAAACCCAAAATCACTCTTGTTCATTTTTAATGATGAAAAAACTAACAATTTCTTGGAGGAGCTTAGAACAGTGCCGCACAGCTGACTTATGAATAATGTTATGAAAAGAGCGAAGAAGACACTTAGGGAAGCCCTCTTCACTGACTGAATATCATATGCTTGGTTCACTTACCTTACTTACCCATACTGTTGATCTTGGAAATTTTCCGGCTGTACCAAAACGAGGGGAGGGGGTAGTTATTTCCAACCCCCGCCCCCTCCCCAATGCATGATATGCAGCCGTATAATGCATATTAAGCACTTTGGGATCATTTTGAATGTACTAGAAAAAATCTTTAATCGTAACAACCAATTTTGACACAAAGGGGGTGTTGATCTCGCCAGAGCATGTATACTAGGCTCACAATGTTGTGCAAGGGATTTCCACTTTTGACTAATAACCTTTGGGGGGACACAGCAAAGGGCACCACAGGCCACATGTGGCCCACAGGCCCCCAGTTGGACAACCGTGATCTATACGGTCAGTTTTTTAAAATTATGTTCATATTATTAGTAGAATGCTGGCATTGTGAACTTCAATAAAAGGAGTGTTGCAAGTGATTACTGAAATGATAAAAGTACACTAATTGCAATATAACTTGAAACATTTTGTAAGTGTTGATAATAAAAGAATGTGCTTTGTTGTAGTACCATTATTTTATATTTCCCGTAGCAGTAAAGAAATGTGATAAGTTTAATGTGCTTGTCCAGTTCTGATCAGGGAGGAGGCCCAGCCACTAGAGTTATGAGGGGTCGCCTGCCAACGGAGCCTGGCCCCAACTGTACGAGTGATTTGGGCCAAATGTCTCCTCAGCTATCTAGCCCTATAAAATCGCCCCCATACTGCGCTCCTCTCGATGGAGAGGATAGAGGTGAGCCTCCTTTGTTTTTTGAATATTGGATATATATAGGTGAAGGTTTTCTTGTAAATCTCAGCTTAATTTGATTTTTAACAAGAATGACTGTTAACACACATTTTTGTGTGATTTGAGGTACAAGTAAATTTTCTCATTATTGCTGGTTATGATGATTTAACATTAATGCATGGAGTTCATTGAAATGTGTTGAAACTTGATGACTATTTTCTTACCATAATACCTCTCTTTTGTGATTTGTACTTAAAAATATCAATAAACACATGTAAAAAATAATGGCATCGTTCAGTTGCTTGACATCTTCTGGGATGGATCTGGTGCTATCATCCTCAGATAGTTTTCTACATTCTTCTGAGATGGTACAATAATACATCTCAAATATATTGTTGTGCATGCTGTAAACTGTTGAATGTAAAAGCCACTACTTTTCAGGAGGCTCAGTTAATTGATTCAAACATATTAATAACTACATAATTTTGACTGTTGTATTCAATACTTTGCAGTTGTGATTTGGGGCTCTCTAAAAGAAAAGACCTTTGTTAAGCCATTATGTGTACTGCCTTTAAAGCAGCTGCCAAATGACAAAAATAAAATAAAAAAACAGCTTAGTCACATTTAATGTTTTACAGTTGACGAGCAGAAATTGTAAACAGAAATTTTCTGAAATAGTGGTTGGTTTTTTTATTCAGAAACAATTCAGTTCGTTATTACTTTTACACTAAATTAATGAATATATTATTTTTCAAACTCTTGCACATAATTTTAATGTAACAGTGAAGGAAAATTCTTATCAAGTCTTGGTTTGGAAATTGAAAATAATTTCAAAATTTTAAATTATTTTAGTGCTAGGTTTAAACAAATCTCTTTAACAGCCACTTTTTTCTCTTTGTTTCTTATGTTTGTTTCTTGTTATTGCAGTCACCTTGCAGGTCCCTAAGTCACCTCGAACTCCAACAACTATTTCTCGAGGAATGGGGCACATGATAGCCCACAGATTTAAGAAAGAATTTAAACTTGTGGCAACCTGTGATTACTGTGACAAGCAGATGCTTTTTGGCACAGGTGGGTGTGAATAAGGGACAATCTGGGTAAGTAAACACTCACTCGGAATGTTGGCTAAACTTTAAACACTTCTTGAAATTCCAGGTCTAAAGTGCAAAGAATGCAAGTACAAATGTCATCGTGAATGCGAGCCAAAAGTTCCTCCATCTTGTGGCTTACCACGAGACTTCCTGGATTACTTTTCCAAGTCATTAGTTCAACCAGAAGGTGTGTTGAGTTGATAAATTTGCAAAATTCTTTGACTGACAAATTATTTAACAATAATGTGTGTTCATGTTGTATTTATATAGGTATTTATTTATAATTTGGTTGCTGAAATTTTGTCCAATGGTATATATAAGTTGTGCAGATATAATGGACGTTGACTAGGTTTCTGATATTCAAGTAGCATTGGAAAGGAATAACAGTATGGTGAAAAATAGATAAAGAATATTTAAACCCCCCGCCCCAACAGTAAAATAATCTCAAAAAGTTTTTAAAAATCAGTTGAAATTAATGTTCTCCTCTTTGGAGCTAATTTGTAATTTTTACTTTCTTTCCTTACAAATTCTTCCTAAGAAGAGAAAGTTATGTAATCAGTGGTGGAAAATGACAAATTTTCCCCAGAAAAAGAATTAAATGTCAGGCTTTGGTAATGAAAAAGTGGATAAATCCTGTTGGTAAATGTAGGGGGGTAAATCCTCTAACACTTGGTGTAGCCAGAATCCATGTTTTGTTGGTTCTTGATACTGAAAATTCTATTGATGGCAAAATGTTAGTCTGGCGTCTGTGGTCAGCGGCTAAACCGTTGAGCCGATTTTTTCCAAAATTAATATTCCTGTCAATCTGATGTCGCGGCTACTGGATTTTGAAATCGATATTTTAATTTTGAGGGGTACTTTACATGAAATCCCTAAGACATTTTTGAAATTTTAAAAAAAAATCTGCCCTACCCTGTGCTTGTCTCATTTTCGGGTATTGCTTGTTTTTTTTTCTTTGAAAATTACAAAAAACAAATTTAAAAGTATAAAATTGAAAATTGAGGTATTTGAGTTTGTTGTCTAGGATTACTTCTTTAAAAAATGTCATGTTTGAGTTTTTGAAAAAACAAGTGATTTTTGCATAACTGAGCCTGAAGTTCACAAAAAGAAATTTTTCTTTAAATTTTCTCCACATATGTAATAAGGGACAGTAAGAAATATGATGCTAAAGCTAAATCAAAAATTGCAAGTGTATTGTAGTCGAGCTTTCAGAAAGAATGTGAGAAAGTATGTGCTTTCATAGCTCCACTAGTTTACTGTCAAATACTCGTATTAGGCTGCTCCTTTTAACCTGATGATGCGAATAATTAATTCATGTACACAATTAATTCAATGTACACACTTATCTATATACACTACACTCTCACAAATCCAGCCTTTCCCTGCACATGGATGCCGGATTAGGGAGTGCCAGACTACTGTGAGGTTTTGAAATTAATTGAATAACAGAGACTATACAGTACTTCATTAAGTCCAAAGCTTACTGTACATTAATTTACATCACAATTTTTTGCTTGTCCAACATTGTAGTCACCTGGCTTTTGTCAAACACCACTGTTCAGCTTGCCTAAAAATTCAAGGTTCTGCTTGAGGTCTAGTGTATTGCGTTTTCTTTTAGAAGCCATTGAATGGAACTGTTCTGTAAGCAAGTTACCATCTCCGATATGTATAGCACTGTCTAAAGTTTTGAACAAACACCACATTGTTGCCCAAGATAATTCATTGTTGGGCATGTCATATGTGCTTGAGTGCCTGGAGGCTGGATATGGGCTGGATTGATGAGAGTTTAATGTATCATGGGAAAAAAAATAATTTTTTTTTTCAAATTAATTGATAGTCTTTAAATAAAAAATTGTACTTCACATTTTAATCTTCACTTATAATGTAAGAATTATAAATTGTACATTACATATATTGTTTCTATTTTCTTTTGCAGTATTTCTTCCTAACCAGTCACCAAGTATGGGACGTGGCCCTGGTTCTTCTTCAGCAGTTACCATTTGGTCAGAGCGGAGCAAGCATCGTGGCCATTCACAGTTGCCGATTATAACACCTTTTCCTGTGAGTATTGCTATCAACAACAATCCTAAAACATGTAGCCTTAAAGTCCTATTCTTGATAAGAAAATATGTTTTATTGGTTAATGATGAAAAATTCTTAATTTTCATTCAGTGTCTTTCCTTTTAAATTTAATTGTCTCCCACCCCCCACCCCCCTCACACACCAACCTTCCCCACTCAACAATTCTCCTCTGCACACACAGGCCCTGCCAACTCATATTTACACAATGTATCCCCCCCCACGACAACATGTATCCCCCCTACATACATGCTGTCCCCCACACACCATTACATGTGTCCCCCCACCACAACATACCATGTGTCCCCCCACACACACATGTGTCCCTCACACCACACGCTCACACATCACCGACTACAATACAGTGCATACAATCGCTACACATGCATCACCCACACACTACATCGCTACATCAATACATCGCTACACATGCATCACCCACGACATACATCGCTACACATACATCGGCTACACAATGCATCACCCACACATAACATCGCTACACACCTACTACCAACTCGCTTAACACATGCATCACCCCAACACACATAACATCGCTACACATACATCGCATACAAGGCATCCACGCCACACATCACATGCGCTACACATACATCGCTACACATGCATTCACCCACACATACATCGCCGACACATACATCGCTACAACAATGCATCACCCACACCATGCATCACCCACACATACATCGCTACACATGATCATACCCACCCACAGCAAATGCATCTCCCATCACCCATTAAAATCTCGGACTTTACACATGCATTCAGCCCCACACATACATCGCTAGTCAACATGCTATCACCCAACCATACATCGCTACACATGCAATCACCCACACATACATCGCCTACTCATGCATCACCCCACACATACATCGCTACACAAGCATCACCCACACATACAGTCGCTACACAATGCACTACCTCTACACATACATCGCTACACATGACACCCAACACATACATCCGTACACAAATGCATCAACCCACACATACATTAGCTACCACATGCATTCACCCACACAACCATTGCTACATATCGCTTTGATCACCCAACACACTGCCCCTCACATGCAATTTGTCACACATGCATCTGTCTCACACACCACTATTGTTCCACAACACATGGCAATTACACACACATCCCCTACACACACAAGACAGTTTTCCACAACACATGGCATTACATGCATATCGTCGCCCACTCTACGATCGCTCTACACACCACACCCTCCCTACGCAAATTGTTAATCAGTCTCTCACACCAACACACAGCAAAGGGCTCTACCTCACACACACCACACAATCGTTACCTCACACACCAACAATCGTCCTCACCATCCAAGTTCCTCGCACACACCCACAATGTCTCGCAATCCTAACCACAGCACTCAACACACACACAGCATCGCTCCTCAACACACAACGACAATCCTCCTCACAACACACACACACTATTCAACTTCTCCTACACATCACTCCACCACACACACACATTCGCTCCTCACACACACACACATCGCTCCTCCCCCACATCCCTCACTACCAACAACACACATCGTCTATCCCACACACATCACACATCCTCCTTCCACACACACACAGTCTCACAACACGCACAATCGCTCCTCCACACACACATCCAACACATCACTCCTACGACACCACTTCACTCCCACACCATTCTACAAACACACGCTCTACACACAGCAAACGCGCTCCTACACCACACACACACGATCGTCCTCACACACCATTTCTACCACACACATCCCCACACAACACAACATCGGCTCCTCACACACACACACATCACATCTGCTCCTCAGCACCACACATCGGTCCCACACACACACACATCGCTCCTCACACACACACACCCAACATCGCCCTGCTCACCACACCACACACACATCGCCTCCTCACACACACAACACCCATCGCTGCCCTCACACACACATGCTAACCCACCACACGCCCTTCACAAACATCAAATCGCTCCTCAGCACGACACACACACGCTCCTCCACAACATCCTCCTCACACACACAACACATTCCTCACACACAAACATCGCTCCTCACACACACCACACATCGCTCCTCCACGACACACTCCTCACGACACACAACCACATCGCTCCTCACACACACACACACATCGCTTACAACCGTCACACCACACACACACATCGCTCCTCCACACACACACACACACATCGCTCCTACCACACACACACATCCGCTCCTCACACACCACACCACATCGCTCCTCACAACAACATCCTCACACACACACACATCGCTCCTCAAACACACATCCTCCACACACACACACATCGCTCAAACCATCTAACCCTCACTCCTTCCACACCACACACACATCTGCTCTAAACACAAACACACACACACACATTCGCTTAACCTCAACCCACCACACACTACCTCTCACACACACCACAATCGCTCACTCACACACACACACACATCGCTCCTCACACAACACCACCACATCGCTCCTCACAACCACACACACACATCGCGCCTACACATCACACACACACATCGCTCCTCACACACAAACACAACATCGCCTTCATCACAACCTACCATCGCTTTCATCACACAACACATCATCGCTCCTCACACACACACACATCGGCTCCATCACACACACACCACATCGCTCCTCTCCACACACCACACATCGCTCTCTCACACACTTACACACATCCGGCTCCTCCACACACACACATCGCCTCCTACTCCACACACTTACCACACATCGCTCCTCTCACACTACACACATCGCTCTCTACACTACACACATCGGCCCTCTCACACACTTTACACCAAACATCGCCTTCCGCTCACACACATACATCACGATCGCCTTCCTACCACACATCTTACACACAATCGCCTCCCTCACACACTTACACACATCGCTCCGCCACACATTTACACACATCGCATCCTCTCAACACACTTACACAAACCATCGTCCGTCTCACACACTTCACACATCGCATCCTCTACACACACATACACAGCATCGCTCCGCTCACACACATACACACATCGCTCCTCTCACACACTTACACACATCGCTCCTCTCACACACTTACACACATCGCTCCTCACACACACACACACATCGCTCCTCACACACACATAAAAACATTGTTTTACACACCATCACCCCACACACTCTCCCGACTCCACACATGGCATGATGATGATGGTGATGAGTATAATGACAAAAATTTCAAAAACAGCAATGACAATGACAATGATGACAATAAAGATAATGATGATAATAAATTTCTAATTATGATGCAGCATAGCTGACAATACAACTTTCTGTTTCTTTAATACATTACTTTAACTCATTAATTTATTCATTTAATCATACAGCTAGATAGTCATTGTGTTTCTTATTGGCTATAGATGCTTCTGTAGGATTTTTCCACTGTTTGTGTTTTTCTGCATGACATATTTGTCCCCAAAAACCCCTTTCCTTGGTGTTCCATAAAAGGGTGGGTGGTGTGGTAAAAGGATCATTGGGTGTTTGTTTGCTCCTTTGTGGATCACTTTCTTTCAGAACTGACACTTGTGTGAAAATAATTGAAAAACAGTGTTGGAATCCCAGCACAAAACTTGTTACTGTTGACTGTACTTAATCTATTTCTTCCTAACATTGCATAAAGGCAACACAATGTTTACTAGTTTACCTTATTTACCCGAATATAATTGACATTGAATATAAAATAACCCCCTAATTTAGAAGAGGCTTCTTGAAATTATTTTTTTTAATTTTAAACTAATTCTTGCTATTTTGTAAAGATAAAATTTTAAAATGTATTCTTGTTCCTTAATATCATCATCATGGTTTTTGTCACTATCCTCATCATTTTCACATGTATCAATTTTTCTTTCCTTTTGGTCCTCCTATGCTGTGACATTTTCGGACTTTTTTGACCCCTGTTGAAAGTTTTGAAGACTTAAATTGTGCGTTGTTCATACTCTCATCAGATGCTACCTACGATCATGCCCTTCTGTTGTCAGATTTCTTATCTGTCCTGCACTTGTTTATAGCCTCCGTTTGTGTTCAAAACGCAGATTCACATTCGCATCGAACCAGGATTCCACGTGGCCTTTTAGAACTTGCATCATTTAACCAACTCTCTGCATTCGTTTTCATGTTATGTTTAATTTGATACAATGCCATTCAGTAAGAGTATTCTTTACCAGCTCATTCAAAAATATCAGTCTGAATTCCCGACAAATTCGCTGTGGATTCCGAAAATATGGACACGAATATAATTATGTATTGTTACGTGCAATGTCTTTACTGTTTATTATTATGTTAACATTTTTTAATTTTGTGACCTGGAATGGCAATGTAGAAACTTAAATCCTAACTAAATAAGCTTAATCTGCGAATATAAGACGGCCCCGCATTTTTCAACTGAGATATTTAGGAAAAAGCCTTTCCTTACATTCAGGTAAATTCGGTATTTTACCTATACCATTCGTTGAAAGCATTTGTACATTTGTGTACAGTAAATATAATCTTAATGACTAAAACTATTTTTATTTGATCAGTATATATTACATGGATATTCATTTTTAATTTTTTCTCTTATCAAGGCACGTGCTCTAGTTTGACGCCTCTGCAATATCTGTCTTTTGACCTTCAAATTGGTGATGTATGTGAAAGTTTGTTATCACACTGCAAAATATATGTGCAAATAAATGTGCTTAATGTTTGAGTAGAATTTGATTTTCAATACAATTTTTATTTGCAAGTAAATGTTGTTGCATTTACGCAACATTTGGGAGTTTCCTGGCAGATTTGGGAACGGCCAAATTCCATTATGGATCCATGAAAACTGGTTCAGAGGAGCTTACGATTTTGGAATAGATATAAGATTAGATAGAATGTGCCCTCTTTTGATTGTTCCGTTGCCGGCTATGCCAGTGGACACAATCTCTATGGAAATGATCTTTGCTGTCTGGGTGACGCTGCGTTGAAGGCTGTGTTGCTGAGTGTTTGACCATCTATCATGGTCTTCTTCTGGCCTGCTCTGCTTGCATCTGAGAGAAAAGGGCATGGGACAGTTTGCTTCGAACCACAAAAATTATTTCAAAACAAAAGTTGTGTATAATTACATGATAGAGAAGCATAATGAGATTTTGATTTCTTAGAGACCCAACAAAGCAAGGAATATTTACATTCTAACAGAAAATATTTAAAATTGTTTTGATTTCGATTTCAAACTAGTACTCTTATCTTCTTAGATGTGGGGATTTCCAAATTGCAATTAGCCATCTTGCACAAATTGCAATTTGCTATCTGATACTCACATTGAAATTTAGGGCATTATAGTAAGAAGAGAATGAGAGAAAGACGGAAGGTTCATGTTGACTATGTAAATTAGTAGTGGAAACAAAACTAAGTGATAAAAATGCATATAGACAACATAATGTTCATAAGAATGGAACAATTTTGGAATGTAAAGAAATGTCACATACATTTAAATTTCTTTTGGTTTTCTCCCCTTCATGCATACATTTGAATTGTTTTCAAATCAGTAAAATTAGTAGATACTAGTTGACAATATACCAACATTTCTTTGAAAAGCGCACAGTGCACTTCCTTTCTGGAAAACTCCCAACATTGCTTATGTGCAACATACCGTCCAGATTTAACTAAAATTTATAAAATGAATTAAGTATTTCATTGTTTGGGTAAAAATGTGTTAATAAATGTATATGTTGCTTGTAGAAAACAAACACCCATGTCCCCATATTTGTCTTAAAATAGGGTTCTACTGATTAAACTGTTTCAGACTGGTCCTGATTCTAGTTCAAACACATCAAGTTGCAATAGCTCTGCTCCCTCAAGCCCTGCTTTGGGAGCTTTGGGTGCTGCACACACTCCACAGCCTGTTTTAAAACCACAATTCCACTTTCCAGGTAAGCAGGATATGATGATAGAAAATTAGCAGCAATGGTAGTAGTTTCTCTGATTTTGATGGTTGAAATATGTAACTTCCACGTAAGTCGTAATTTTGTGTTGCATACGTGTTCTTATCTAATTTTGAAGGTTAGTTGAAGCTGTACTGTATTTTGTAAAGAATGTATCATTTCTTGTGTTAACAGAAGTAGAGAGAGGAGTTACCTTGGAGACACACCCTCTGCCTGCTGTGCAAGTGCCAGATGAAGTGGCTGACACACACCGTTCAAACGACAGCGATCGCACAGTGTCTGGTTCAGGCAGTGCTAGCACAGATTCAGAACGTACTCCTGTTCGAGTGGACTCTCAGGATAGCCAGGTGTCTGACGGGGAAGCAGTGGAGCGCCCATGGCCTCGACAAAACAGTGTAAGTGCCTCTTTAGCATTTGTATGTAATTTTTAGTCTTACTAAGAACTTGCGTATCACCATAATTTGTCTTTTGAGAGATTTGTATACTTCTGTTTCTTAAAGATGTTAATATTTATTTGTAATGCTCACTTACATTATCACTTAGGGGTCTTTGTGCTTGTATTTGATGTTGGCTATAGATGAAACAGTCGTTAAGATTTACAAAAATTATGTTCACATTTGTATTCTTAGATTATTTGATCCCCAAATTATTTATTAGTTGTTTGGTAAAATTGCTTACAAGCAAGAGTCTGTGTGTTTTATTGCATTAAAATAAACCTTCAACAACTTACCAGCATCAACCAAGCATTAAATTACTTTTCCTTCCATGTTTTCAATCATAGAAATTGGCAAGTCTTGAAACTTATCAAAGGGTTTCTTGGCTTTCTTTAAGGGTAGAATGTGTGACTAAATTTTCCTCTTTCGGAGAGTTTTGAGTTTGTTTTTTTCTGTCACAGCTTTCAATGCGCGAGTGGGACATTCCATTTGATGAACTAAAAATTGGTGAGCCAATAGGCACAGGACGCTTTGGTACTGTATATAGGGGCAATTGGCATGGAGATGTTGCCATCAAGTTATTGAATATGGACAATTTAGATGATGAAAAAACTTTAGAAGCTTTTAAATTGGAGGTAGGTGCATTAATTAAATTTCTTGTTTTATGATTCCTAGTTTCATGGAGTTCAAGAGAGAATGGACCTTAAGACAAAGACCCAAAAAATCGTCATGTTATTATAATCTGATTATGTCATAATAAAGGAAGAAGAGCAAGTTAACAATGACAACTAATTTGGATATTATTTGTGCTTTGTAAACACATTTTCATTACTTAATGATAAGAAGTGTTCTTATTCGAAACATTGTCAGTGCTCTACGTAAGAAGAATTGTTCTTCTACCACATTTGCAGTGATAATCTTCAGCTCATTTGAGTAGTGATCCTGAAAATCAATTCTAAAAATTTGAATCAGTGATGATTAAGGACTTCAAATATTCTTTTTCAGCTAAGGAGACTAGGTTGATATATTGATGAATGGTGAGGTATGGATGGCATTTTTTCGAGAGGGTTGTGCAAATGAAAACAATACAAGTCTGATGGACAATTGAGTATGGATACTTTGCAACTACCTACAATTTGCAGTCAGTACCCTAGGTTTGTTGTGTGCATGATGTGCAGCCTGACATAATAGAGTGGAATCTAATTAGTATGTTCCCATTACCATGTTTTCCTGCATAGCCTAATTCAATTAAAGTTCTCGTTGTTCAGTTCAACAATCCGTTTAGCAGGATTAAAGTGTGTTGAAACCATGATTCATGATTCACACATTTTGTGACGCAGCAGCACCGTCTTCAATGTGTGTACTTTGAGACACTTGAAGATTTAAGAAAGGTCATTTCAAAGAATAGTGAGGGAATTTCCAACCTATTTAACTCTTGAATGTGGGGATAAAGAGGGAAGCTATGGGAATTCTTCGAAGAGCTTTCTTAATCCCTTTCCTGCTTCAAGGCGGGAGCAGGTAAACGGGAGTGCAGACCAGCATGCTGTATGCAGTTTCAAGGCATACAACACTTTCACTTGTGCCTGCGATGTGTCATCTCTTAAGTTTGCAGGGTGCTCTCTCTAGACATTTTTAAACGTTTTTTTTCTTACGTTCGTGGGGTGCCATCTATGGACATACCGAGCTACACCTTTTTGCCAGAAATTTGCAATTTGCTGCTTTAGAAATTTGCAATTTTTTTGTGAATTTACTCAGGTGAGTACTCAGTATATTTTCTGTTAATACATAAAAAAGTAATACTCTCTTTATTAATTCTTATTTGCATTTTATATATCTGTATTGTACATTTTTATTTACAGTGATTGAAGAATGGTTACATCCAATTGATTATGCGACTCTTCTATTGAAGAACTTCTACAAGGAAGCGAAGATGAATCCAGTAATTTGGAATGCAGCAATGATTCAGACATGACCATGGAAGTAAGACGATGATGTGAACTGAAGTGAAGTAGCCATAAGTTCAGATTGTGATGCTTTTACCTGAAAAGGCATGGACAACTACGTAGGGAAGCAAGAAGTATTTTGTAGTAATCATTAACCTCAGAATAAAGAGAAATTTGCAATGTACATTTATTTCCCTCTTCAAGTTATTTTTTGGTGGCTCAGCTTATATCAGTTATATAAATGGAAACAAACCATTAGGCTGAGCAGTTTATGCAAAATCAAACAACATTGTTTCCTTCTTGCGAGTGAATGATGGAAACCTGTAAACAGTGATGAAATTTATGTTGTTCTGGTGATTTTTATGTTAATGGGCATGTTCAAAAAACAATGTTCAGGTCATATTTTTCTCAAAATGAGATAATTAGAACTCTTACATTTTCATTGATAATTTCTTTGGATAGATTTGAGTCTATCAATAGGTTTTTGCATTTAGCCAAAATATTTCTGTTGAGTCACTGACGCTATGGAAGGGGTGATTATCTTTAATGCAATATATGCTGCACAAAGCTGCAAAGTTTGGCATTAAAACATTTGAACTCTGCGAATCGAGTACTGGCTACTTATGGTCATTTGTTGTGTATATTGGAAAAGACACTTTTTCAAAATCTCACCTGCTTGGAATTGTAGGAAATTGTAGTGAATTTGTTTTAAATTTAATTATTCCATTGGTAAACAAGAGGCACACCTTGTGGATGGATAATGATTATAATTCTCCAGCTTACACCGCCATGCTGAAAAACATGTATACTAACTGTTGAAACACTCCGTTTAAACAGGAAAATGTTCCTAAAGTCATACCAGAGAAGAAGTGAGGTTAACATATTGCTCAGCATTCTGGTACAGTTTTCGTGATGAAGTGGATGGACAGAAAACCTGTCACCATCATTAGTATGTATCATAGGGACCACATGAAAATGGTGACACTAAATACCAAGCAAGATGTACGGAAGCCAGCCTTTGTAATAGATTACAACGCATGTATGGGAGAGATAGATTTGAATGATGAATGCTTGCATACCTACTTAATCGAGAGAGAGTATACGAAAAAATGCAACATGCATATGTTTAAAAGACTACTGGATGTTACTGCTGTGAACACATTCATAGTATGGAAGAAGAACCATTTAGGATCACAAGATCTCACCAGCCACATTCTGGAAATAACATAATGCTTCTGACAGGTTGACTCTATTAAATGAGCTCCCCCAACCAGTGGGAAGGCCAAACAGCAAAAGTGGTCCATTGACTGCCACAAGAATGGAAGGAGAAAAGTACCGATATATTAGTGCCCTGATTGCGAAGTGGGACTATGTCTAGATGTTTTAATTAATACCACACAAAAGAGAAGTATTGTTAAGAAATGTGAATTTTGTCATTAATTTAGGACATTATTATTAATAAATTTGTTTGCAAATATATTACTGTGTTTTATAACCCTTTAAGATTTCCTGTCTTTCCACAAATTCTTTGAAATGTTCGCACATTAACAGATATTAGCTTCCTCCATTGGACACTATTTCTAAATTAAACGTATCACATGTTTTAAACGTGTTACTGGAATCCATTTAAGATTTTGAATAATTTTAATGTTTGTAACATAGTTATTTTCTCTCATTCTATGGTATCTTAATCTTTGAACTCAACATATTTACATCAATGTTGGCATGGCAGAGAGAAAGATATAATGTTCCTCAGAGGAGGAACCCTTATATTGTAGAATATTAAATATTCAGAATTGTGCACAAACAATTCTCAAAATTTTATTTTAAAAATTGACAAATGTATGCAATCTTGTCATTTTAAATATTTTGTTTGGCATTTAGATAAAAAATCTAGTCCCTAAAATAACACCAAATAGTCAAAAGAATTATTATAACATTGCCATTTCTAATTTATTCTAACTTACTTCAGTCGTTTTTGTGGTTAGAAACAACAATTGAGATTTTTTTCAATTCTAGGAGTATGTTTTTTTGCACCTGACGTAGAGTAGTTTTTGATAACTGGGCTTCTCACTAGAATGCAAAGAGTCTAGTGCTTGATAAATTTCCTCTTTCGCACGAAAAGTCTCCCACAGCAGCATTAGAGCAGCTGCCCAGGTGGGTATGCTACCTGAAGCAACACTCCTTTTGCCCAATATCCTAAGGAATGCGTCTGCAACTTTTTCGACCCCTCGCTGAGGAGAGAAGGGCCACCCTGTCGCAGGACATCATCGTGCACGCGGGAAAAGCGTTTCATGACGTTTCCAGGTGGCATCCTGCAGATGGAAGGCAGAGTGCTGGTACGTCTACAGACGGCACCCCATGTTGAAGGGTTAATTACGGACCCAGAGCTGGAGAAACCTGCGAGAAAGAGGAGATCCGTTTCGACCATCTTCATTCTTGAGTTTTGTGTTTACCTGTGTTAACAGATTATCTGCCTGTTTGTTGTACTATAAATAAATAAAAAGTGCATAATTTTTCTGAACATGTATTATTTGTGTGATTTTTCAGTCCTTTGAAAAATATACTAATGAGATTCCACTAATTAAGGATCCCCATAGACCGATGTTTGAAACTTCCACAATTTTCCACATAACAAAGATGGGTGTTTACAGGAGAAGTGTAAATGACATACGAAACAAGATGTTATGCAAAATTTTAACTTAATTTGTTCAAACTTAAGTTTTTGAAAGAAAATATATCTGTTGATTAATAAATTTTCATAAAAAATATTTCTATTCAATTCATGATTTCACTTTTTTGACAGTTAATAAGTATACTGGATTATTATTTCGTTACTGTCTCTTTCTTAGTATACTAGAGTATTATTTTTCTTCTTTTCTATAAAATAAATCTCTTGTTCAATTAACTGTCGATACATTGAATTCTTCATTACAACTGTAATGCACTTAAGTACTTCATCTTATAGCCAATAACAAATAAATCCTTTATAGAAATTGTTTCCTGTTATAGAAAATCTAAGTATACCAAGTAAAATATTGAAGTTACAAATTTTATTCAGTACTAATTATTATATACATAATACTGAACTAGACAGCTGAGATGTGACTTGTGATGCACAAGTTCAATTCGTTCATAGACATGGTTGACAAAAGAGTGCCTGACCTGCCCCTGTGTCACAGAAGATTGGGCACAGAGAAGTGGGCATCCTGGCAAGTTAATATACTAGTGCTTTCTGTCCCTCCAGTAGTGCAAGATTTTATAGCCAAGCTGGAAGGTGGTTGTCAATAGAACCAAACATCAATGAATCTGGGTGTAGTCAGGCTCCCTCCTGTCAAAATTGGGTTACATGCTTTTGGCCTTCAGTGTATCTGAGCTCAGGCACTTAGACGCTTGAGATTATAGGTCTGTGCTTGCTAACCTTGCTCGGAAAGGTAAGGGTTATGTCTTCTGTAAGACCTGATAGGATGGATGCAAGAAAAGAAGAAAGGTTAATTAGAAGTTGGTTCATGATTGCATTGAACTATAAATAAATAAAGGCACTCTCAAAATACTACAAACGCGTAAAAAAAATTGAATATCATACAGAGGAAACACTTTGTTCTTGTTTTCCTACAATTTTAAGTGCTAAAATAGGGGAAATGCCCTACAAGACAATACTGATATTCTACATAAAGGAGTAGGTGTTTTGCTCACAGTCTATTAAGAAATGTCTGTTCAGTAAAAAATAAAGAACTATTAGGAGAAAGTTGTGAAATTTTGGCCAAAATATCAAATAAAAATTTACAAATTTTGAAATTTCAGTCACAGAAATATGCTGGAACTTGGAGAATATACCATCCTATTTTCTGGCCTTGTGATAATAAAGTCTTCCAGTACTTTTGAATGACACATGATTAGTTTTAACCAATGTAATTAATTTAGACCCATTCCTCTTTTTTTTAACTCCATCATGCTGAAATGGCAGAAACCAACGAATGTGCCCACACTAACAAACACAGCTGATTAGTGGTGGGGTCAAAATCCCATGTCTGAATGTCCAAAAGATCTTTCTCATAGATGTTTTTGTAAATTGCAGAAGGTGTAGATCCTTGCCTTGACCACGTTGTCCTAATGTGCTTCTTCTAGTCAACGAAATGACTTCTAAAAAATCCCAAGAGGATATTGTATGTTTGCAAGAAGTATTTTGTTACTAAATTGCGTTAGAAATTATGCGTTTCCTAGACTCTGAGTGGTTTTATGTAAGTTATGAAGGCCATTGCATAATTTTCCCACCTCAGTTATATGTAGCAAAGCATCAATGGAGATATATAGTGGGGTTAGATTAGAAGGTATTGGGAATATATAGAAATTTATGACTGACACAGTGAAACCCAAAACTACACATCTCAACTCGCACTAGCCTAAGAAACTTTCCATCAGTAGTCTAAATCTTATTTATCATATAATATCGTTTATTTCTTGTCACTAATGTACTTCATGTGCCATTACCACCTCATGTTGGCTTATATGCACTTTATCCAGCTAAGGTCCCAAGTATGCTTCAGAGCTGTTCCTACTTTGGACTTAATCCACCCTTTGTGGATAATATTAATGCTTATTGGTTAATTCACGTATTAGCCATATTCAGACCTTAGCTGTAACATGTGGCGGAGTTAAGAACTGTCATAACCTAGCATTACAGTTTGAAAGCCATGTGTCCATGTTTCTTCATTTAAATTCATTTCATTGAATCCATAGCTTCAGTCCTTCCAGAATGAAAACCTCTCTGGAAAGTCACTGTATTTACGCTAATATCCTAATCCCCTAATTTTGAAGTGCTTGAGAACTTCTTTCATTTTTAATTAATTCTTAGTGTTTCACAGTCTCATTGCAGATTGTCTTATTGACTAGAAAATTGTCATGATGGTAAGAAAGTTGGTTTTTGCCATCATTATTTTCTTCTTTATAACCATTATAATCTTTCTTATCTCAACTTTCTTAAATTGTATCAGTGTTTCTTTCTTACTGAACCTCCACCCTTACTGTGTTGTCTTCCAATTTTTTAATGTTTTGCATGTTGAATTGCGTGTTTTTGTCTTCCATTTCACACCACCTTACTACTTTTCTTCATGTGGCAGCAAATTCTCTTCTTGACTTGCTGTTTGTGGCCTCCTCCTCTTTAATATCTATGCACTTGCAATTCACATCTTTTTAATGTCAGAGATTGAGTTATGAATTACAAACCCCTACATATCTGTAACTTTTTTATGAAAACCTTTGTGACTTATTATTACATCAGTATTAGAGTTTCTGGGCAAGGAAAGACATTTTAAAAACATTGATCCCAACTACCTAGGCTTAATCTGCAAATGTAAGATGATTGTATTTTCAAAGGAGATATTTAAAAAAAAGAAAATTTATTATATTTGGGTAAATACAACAATCCATTAAAACAGTTTTACCGATATATGAATCAAAATGAGCTGTGTATGTGACTATTCTGAAATGGTATATGTATGTTATAATAATAATAATAATAATAATAATAATAATAATAATAATAATAATAATAATAATAATAATATTTACATTTTTTTATCGTTATTCAGGTCGCTACATTTAGAAAGACACGACATGAAAATCTAGTTCTCTTTATGGGTGCATGTATGAAGTTGCCTCGTCTTGCCATAGTAACAAGTATGTGCAAAGGCATGACTCTGTATACGCATATCCACCTTCGTAAGGATAAATTTAACATGAACAAGACTACGATTGTAGCACAGCAGATCTCACAGGTAAAATCTTAAATTTGTGCAGAAGCTTCTGAATGGAAATTAATTGTAAAATTTTATGTGTTACAAATTATTAAATGTTTATGATGTGTGTGCAGGGAATGGGCTACCTCCACGCACGTGGTATTGTGCATAAAGATCTTAAGAGCAAAAACATCTTTCTTGAAAATGGCAAGGTAGTCATTACAGACTTTGGCCTTTTCAGTGTAACAAAGTTGTGCTTCGGAAACAGGTTAGTATAAAGGTATAAGGAATGAAAATCTTATGTTAATATATTCTTTCCTTTTGGAGGAGAACTCGTCATTAGTTTGTACTCTCAATGTTGTCAATCAGTATGTGGAAAAAAGCAGGTTTGTTTAAAATTTCATGTAAATGGATAGCTGTTGGCAACTCATGTAATTTTTGACGATCTGAAGTGCCCAGATGTTGATTCATAAACCAGATGTATGTGTAGAATGTGAACTATTGAAGATGTATTTTAATGCCTTTGCTAATTTCAGCCTATTCTTTTTATGAGATTTTATTTTATATGTTGGTATTTTAGACGAGGCAATGGTCTAAGCATTCCACCTGGCTGGCTCTGTTATCTGTCACCTGAAATTCTGAGGAGTTTACGTGTGCGACAGAAACATGATGAGGAGGAGTTACCTTTCACCCAAGCTTCGGATGTTTATGCCTTTGGGTAACTTGACAATTAATTTAATCTCTGGTCATTTTGAGATGATTTTATTGAGAGGGATATGAAAGTAGAAATGATTAAGGCAAATAAGCAAACTAGAGGTGAAGATATCTGTATTAAAACTGGATCACTTTTGAATTATAATAATTAAATGAAAGAAAATAACCATAACAGTGTGAATATTGCTGTTTTTGTGGTATGCGCACGTTTTTCTCCCTTTTAAAACCAAGTTATACATTTATATTTTCATTTCTGTAAAACCTGAGTTTGAGGGGAAAAAAATAATTCCTGCTAACATTTTGCTTCTGTAAGTTGATAGCCCTTCTTGAATTTTGTGTATGTTTACTATCAGGGTCTTCACAGCTACAAGTCGTTTATTCACAATTTATTGTAACCTGTCTCTTTGCATTCAACTGTTGATATTGATGAAAACTCATTTTATGGTGTGCTGTTAATATTTTTGTTAGTATCTAATTAATTTGTTTATTTGCATTATACCCATTCATTACTACATTAATTACAGTTGTATTTTTTATAATATTCACTTGCAAGTTCCTGTTTTGTTTTTCAAAGTTTGTTTTAAAGCTTTAGCAATTCTATTCTATATATGCAGGACCGTGTGGTATGAGCTGCTGTGCGGTGAGTGGCCTTTTAAAGCGCAACCTCCTGAAGCCATAATCTGGCAAGTAGGCAAGGGTATGAAGCAGTCTCTTGCTAACCTACAGGCCTCACGGGATGTAAAGGTAATAAATCTTGTTTTGTTTGTTGTCTTTTGTAGTTTTTCACATTGTAAATTTCCAATAGTGGATTATGACTCGGATTTCCTCACATAACATGCACAACTATGAAGTAAGTACTTGCATTTGCGTGAAAAAATTCTAAACCCTTCATGTAGAGTTTGGAACTCAGAAATAGTTTAGTGTGCACTTTTACACAAACAAAATTATGAAATGGAATTATAGGTCACAGTTTTGGTAGAAAACTGTGTAAAGAGTCTAAACTATATCCTAGTCGCCCCTGAAGGTACCATTCATAAAGAGGTTCAAAATTGTGTTTATCATTCTCACTTGTTGACCTAATTATATCTCAAAAGTTGGTAATTTGCAAGTTCAGTTAAATTAGATAATGTGTAGATGAACTGAAGAAAATAGTTACAAATTGAGTGAAAACTAATTGAAAGCCCAAAGTTGTAAGAAGACGTTGAAGGTTTCTACAAGCAACCATTACGATTGCCACTCTATTTTTCAGGAGCATTTTGAAGTGACTGAGATGCAAACATGGTTTCAATACACTATTTTATGTCTTCATGCTTGATTGATTACAAACTTCGACCAAGTTGAAAGGAACAATTGTGTCAATTAAAAGAAATTAAAATGTAAATAAGCTCCTTCCAGAACATCTTTCTTAATAAAATGCCAGTTTTTAAATTTCAAGTATGATTATGCATGTGTTATTCATGAAAGCTGAAAAATTCTGGGATGAACACTTGGAAAATGAGGCAGGATGAATTAATTTAAGATTTCCCGTCTTTTTGGTGGAAGTGTAATCTGACAACTGATATCAATTCATTAAATTTAATGTATGACAGAACTAAAAATTTGCAGGATGCCTCATGATTTATGTTGGGTTCAAAAAGAATCTCAGGAGTAATGGTACAAATGGACTGAAGATCTATGTACGTTTTGTTAAATATTATAATTAAATCTGGATCTGTTTATCTGAACCAAATAAGTTCATCAATTTGCATTGTATATTCCAAGATAAAGCCAAATTATCAATGAATTAATGAAAATAATCTAGTACTAATAGCAACAACTTTTGTGCACAGAGGAAGTTTAGTCATACTAAAATTATGATAACAGATTTGGAGAGAGTAATGGCAAGAGGGGGTCAGGGAGGTTGCAGAAAAAAATGCGTACTTGGTTATACTGAATAGTCATCTGGGTGATTTCTTGTCAAATCAAACAGCATAAAACGTAAATCAACTATAAAATTTGGTCAAATATAAATTTATTTGTAAAATGTGTAATTAAGGTGTCAGGTAAGTCTGTCCACGTCAGCCATCTGATCCAAGTTAGGGCCTCCTGTTACAAATTGTATTGATGTTGGTATCAACCTTATTACTGGGAAACAGTAAAGGGGACAACAGACAACACTTCCAGCATCTGTTATGATTGTTGATGACTATGTAACTTACATTTCCTTTTGTTACAAGTTGCGGCACATGCTATCAATATAATTTCTGTTGCTAGCACTCTCACGAGTACAATATGACTGCAGAGAGATTTTAATGGTGCACTGTACTATAGGGTCTAAATTTCTAAGAAATATATAATCTGATTCATCAGTTAGGGCACTTCAACTTGACAGAATTAACTTAATTAAACATGTAATTACATACTTTTTTGGGCTCTTACAATAACATATTCACACCAATTCTTTAATGCAGATAAAAACTTTCCCTTTAGACTAATACTCATCTACTTACAGTAACATCACATATAGTAATACACTTCATATGTTTTCAGGATATCCTGATGCTGTGCTGGTCATATCGACCTGCAGATCGACCTGAATTTTCACAGCTTCTGAAAACCTTAGAGAAACTGCCAAAAAAGCGGCTAGCACGCTCGCCCTCTCACCCAATTCATCTCTCTCGATCAGCAGAGTCTGTCTTCTGAGCGTAGCTGTTTATGTCCTGCGGCAACATTTGTGCAATAATCTATGCTGTGCTCAGATTTACCTGCACATTCAAGATAGTCATCAGAATCTTTTTCTTCTTCAATTTCATCAATCTTCTTTTAAAATATTTTATTTCAACCATTTGGCACTCGTAAATATCTGAAACTTTCAGCACTTATCTAATCAATTCTTCGATTTTACTTGAATTTATTCTTATTATTACCAACTGTATATTTCTCTTTCTGTGTAATTTATGCTTTATCTTTCTTGCAGGAATAGCTATTGCAATAAAAGAATACACTAAACTGTTCCAAAAACAACTAATCATGTATGTTTTTCTACCATTCTAGTCACCCATCAAGCCATGTAAAATGGGAGAGGGTTTCCCAAGAAGACTTTAGTAGTAGCATTCCACAAGTGCTGTTGAACTTGTAATGGACTTGGTTTATTGATTTTTTCACCATCTCTTGATGGGTGTAGGTAATTAATGGCATATTTGAAAATTATGTGATGTTTGTTGCTAAGGAACTTTCTGTAATGAGTGAGGATTAGTAATAGTAATAATGAACAAGAGTAATCCTTTTAAATCTGCACATGTATGTAACAAAATTAATGCAGTAGATGCAGTGCAATGGTTCTTGATGAAGAAGCCTGAGGCAGCAAAACCTTCCGGCCATGCACATTCTTTTTCTGTACAAATACTTATAAATATCTTGTGTATAATCTCAGAGAATCATCTTTTTCAGAAATGTACTTTCAGTTCAATATTTGGTGTAACATTATTGTTCTAGTTTGATTGTGTTCTTGCATGATGTCTTGGGGGACATGAAGAGCTGGAATTTAGGATATGTTCAGCTTTAGCACCAAATTCTGTATTGGTGGGAAAGGGAAATCACAAGGTTCTGGAGTCAGGGACATTTTAATTTATTTTATATACTTTGAAATAAAATAAATAATCATGTGTGGCCTTTTATAAGCTACCATCGGTACTTTAAAAAAACAACAACAATCTTTAGGCATTGTCAAAACAAACCATCTGCAAATGTTGAGATTGATGGTCACATTAATATAAAGTTGCACAGACAATAACCATTTTCTTATTTTATTTGAATTTAATATTTTTTGACCCATTTTAAACAGCTTTTTCCAAAACATTGTATTGTGTGTGTTCAAAATAATTATATTTTTTCTTGAACAGATTGTAAAGAAACATTTTAAAACTTTCTTAAGAATTTTGAAATTTCAGTTGGTGTGTTTTTGGTTGCAACATTGTTCTCTGCAAATCTTAATTGCATACTTTTCAAAGATAGTTGTTTTTTTTTTTGTTGCTCCAATAAAGGAAACCAAAGGAAGCTGTGCCATGATATATTCCTGTGAAATATTAAGCTTCTTGTAGAGCATCAATGCAGGAAAACTGAAAAGGCAATCTCTTAGAATAAAGCTTGCTGTTCAAAGCATTCAATTTTGTTTCATATATGTCGCAATTTTATATACAACTTTTTCATCTTGCACTTTGCTAAACAAATTGAACAGGCATTCTTATCTTGTAGGTTCCACACATGTATTTTCCATCATCATTGTAGCTTTCTTTCAAGACTCTGAATTTGAGTAGAGAACTGTTTGAGATAGTCTGATTATAATTCATAAATCATGGCGTGCCTAATATGATAGGCAAACATGACTTCTTTTGTCATTTAGCCATTGAATGGAAAAACTTCATAGAGTAATTTGGACAACTTTCTAGCCAATAAGTAAATTCTGCACTTTATTACATCACTATCTGTGAACCTGAAGAGTTAAGAAGTGCAAGATTGTGTAATTTCTAATAATACAGGTTTTTAGTAACACTAGACACACTTCTATTAAAGTATTTACCTGATTAAAAGATGACACATGTTTAATATCTTTCCAAGATACCCAAAAAAAATGAAATAAAATAAATATTTCAATTTTTTCAATCACTTTTATTATTTATATAGTTTAGATCTGATTTATGGCTCTTACACCCAAACTATCTTAATAAAGGAGGTCGAATAAAAGAGAATTTCATGGAAAATTTGCCAATTGCCTTTTCATTTTATAAAAATAAAAAATTTGTTTGAATAACATCTTGAATTGGGCAGGGGCAAATGCAATCTGCAAACCAAACCACTTAACGGACTTTCTCCTGCTGCTTTGATTGTGCATAATTGGAAATGAGTGCATTTCAGAGTCCAAAAACCTGTATTTTGAGTTCAAAGGTCTTGAGTTGTTTCTCATGATGTAATTTACAAAATTATATTTTTTGAGATTGTTTATTTTGCTTTGGGGGATTTGGGAGAAGTGCAGAATCTTGAAATATACTAGGCTTGACATTTTTTTCATGTATGAAAATAAGACCTCTATTTTTTCAGAGGACAAAAGCGAGAAAACAATACTAGTCTTATATCTGGGTAAATACTGCAATTACCAAATTGCGTGATGGTTTTCATGAAGTTGCAGGACTTCATTCTACATTTGTTCCTCTAATACCTGTAAGGACAAACTCAGCAATACTAGATATGAAGAAGCATGTGTGAATGAGTTGAAAACATCTTTTTACTTTAAGAGAGTATAGACTTTTTTTTTGCTTTCATCTTTGTCATCTGTGTATCATTGATTTTGTTTTATCGTCTTCTTAGCCATTTGGTTGACCCTTAGGTGGGTTTTGTGCCTAACTTCTTTTTCCACTCTTTTCTATTCCAAGTCCCAGGAGGTATCTGCCATCCAGCCATTGTCTTTGTCTTTGTTGGCTTTCCAACTAGGTCGCGACTGGCCTCTTTTCCTTTTTTCTTAGAAGCTTCTTTGGAAGTCTATTGCTCTGCATCCTCTGCATGTGTCCAAACCGAAACAGTTGTTTCCTTTCAATTACATGCAGTATATCTGGTTTCAAACCCATAATCCCTTAATTATTGGATCCCATGGACATTGGATGAATCCCACAAATATTGGATTTTGTTTTATAAAAATGTGTAACTCAATTGATAATAGAATGTTGTTTGAAGAAGAAAACATAAGGGTTAAGGCTTAACCCTAGAATCGCCAATCGTATTGTTTCAATACTAACATTTCATTTTGCATTATAATTTTAATTTTTGTCTTGAGACTCAATCGTTGACAAGTTTTATCACTTTTACGTGTTTCATTGCATTTACTTGTTGCATTAAGAGTAATAATTTTTTTATATCTACAAAACTTAATTTTTTTTCTATGTACCATTTTACCTACTGTGCCACCTGGTGTCTTTTGACACCAACATGGGAGTTCACTTTGTGGCTGTAACATTTTCTTTTGTTTCACTAAATCACTGTCTGATATTGTGAGATTCTAGTTCTTATCGTTTTGTTTATCAGCAACTTTGATTTCTGGTTCCAATAAAAAAGCAACTAATTTCACATTACCCATTTGTTTCTAAGCCTATTCAGTTGTTTCTCTTCTTTCGAGGGAAGTGTTAGTATGTTGAAAATGAGACTTTATTTATATGAGGAGTTTAAAAAATTTATATCTCAGCAGTCTTAGTTCTGTTGAGACTCTGGCTCTTGCAAAATATTATGGAAGAAACTGAAGGAAGGACAATGATGACAGGTCCAACAATTAGTAGCAAGTGCTGAATGAGTAAAATTGACTTTACAGACTTAAATACTAAGTAGAGAAAATATTTCAGTTAGTGAACATGGGAACTTTTCGAATAATTTTTTAGGTACAGTCGACTCCGTTTATAATGAACTTCTGGAGACTAACATTTTTGGTTCACTGTATCTGAGGATGTCAAAAATAAATAGAATTTCTCCACAGTGATTGATTTTGTTAATATATGTAGATATACAGAAAATACATTAACAGCTTGAATTTAAAATTTAAATATCATTATATGTTCTTTAAAACAATAATTTTCAATTGTTTGCTTTGTTCATTTCTCATTACTAATTTCTCTAGACCCTTCTTTCATAGTTTGTACTCTCACCATACTTGATCTTGTATTGTCCACTGCCTCGAAATATTGTAATGCAGTCTTGGCACCCTTCAATACCTTGTGCACTCTTGAAAATCCCATTCTTTAAAGGCCCTTTTAATCGCCTAATAACATATGAGATCCTTTCAGTAGTGGCAAGGTGCAAGTGGCTATGGAAACTGATCGCTTTTCTCCGTGGCATGACGGGTATCGAGAGGCTGTGGCTGTCGCACGTTCCGTGTTGCCTTCATAGAATACAATGCGCTTTGATCCGCAGAATATCACATAACATCAAGCTTGAAATTGAGTGGCATCAGTAAGGTCCCCATTCTGGGTCTGTTACGTTCGCCTAGAGGGAGATTTCTTCAATTATGACCTTTGGCCAATATTTTTTTCAAGCTGCCTAGTCTTGAAATTTGTGGCACTGAGGCGATATATTCTTCTCCATGAGGGAATTAATTTCCAGGTCATTGTATTTCCCATAACCGAGGTTCACTATAACCATACCTTTTTATGCTTATTTATAATGTAGGTGAAAGGGGACCAGTATCTTAAGTACAGTATATCAGAGTTCACTGCAATCGGAGTTGGCTGTAATTTATTTTATGAGTATCATACGTATGATCATTAGCTTGCCTAGTTTTAAATATTAAATATTTTATTCAAATATGAAGTATATAAATACTAGAAATAATTAAGATGAAGAAAGTAATAGAAATCAGTTAAACAAAATATTTAGTTACCGTCACAGCAACCACCAGAAAATATGAAGGTCTCAAAACAACACCCTTGGGCAGAATAGATAAGTACAGAATCTTAACTATTCCAGTGATAATACATGAATGTGATGTTGAATAATCCAGAAGACATTCATGACAATCATTTCTTTGCTGTCTGTCATTTTTTCTCAATTCACCTCATCCCACATCAACTCCTCTACCTTAACTTGCCTCACCTCACCCCAACTTGTCTCATCTCACCTCACCCCATCCATCTTGTCTTACCCTACCTCAACTTGCCTCACACCATCCTGACTTGCCTCGCACCATCCTGACTTGCCTCACACCATCCTGACTTGCCTCGCACCATCCTGACTTGCCTCTCAGTACACAGACTTGCCTCTCCCCATCCCAACACTTCTCACCCCAATCTGACTCCTCATCCCAACTAATGTCATCCCTGCCTACCTCATCCTGCTCACCTTAAGGTCGCTCCACTCGTATGGCATTCAGCGAATCCCTAGTAGTGTGGACGAGTTGTTTGCAATTTGCCGTGCGCCGAACATTTTGTATTCGCCCTATTCACCGCATGTCAGTCTTCAAGACACATCAGAGGGAGCCTATATTCGCCGAACACATCAACTGTTTGGGATTGGATGAGCAGTAGCTCACTGCTTGGCGAATTCCGAATGTGTGGAGCTGCCTTTACACCAACTCATCTCACTCACCTCAACCCCCCCGGACTCACCCTACCTCATCCCACCCAATTCACCTCTCCCCAACTCACCCACACCTCATTCCTCTAAGTAAAATATAATTCGATAATTATTTTATGTGAGTTTTGCAAGATATTTAAAGAATTGAGTCAGGAAGGAAACACCTTAGTGAAAAGTGAAGTAATCAATTTATTCACATTTAATTTTTTTCTATTTTTTCTTCCTTTTTATTCCTTTCTAACAGTTTCAACAAATAGGTGTTTGAATGTACGTTTTCTATTTGTTTTAAAGCATAATATCTAATCTTCTCAGAGTATTTTGTTTATGGGCTTAAATCTTAGGCAGCAACCTTTTGTACTGGAAGACATAAATCAGGGAATGAGAGCCTTTATTTATCAGTATGTACAATTTACCAAAGATAAAAGGACAGTTTTCAAGTGATACTTTTGTAAATATCTGCAATAGATTGGTAAGTGAATATTATTGATATTTAATTGCTATGTTTGATAACCAATAGAAATCTTTAATTTCTAAAATAAAAATTTTCTTAAACCATCCACATTAGAGTAGACATTTAAGAATGTACTGTGAAAAGAGTTATTATTACCAGTTACTAGACTCCATCTACCTGAGGGCATATAAAGAAACATTAACAACAAAACATAAACATATAACATTTCGAAGAGTCCATCAGACATGGTTGTTGATTTGATAGTTATTTCAGATAATTGTTGATTGGCCCAAAAGTGAGATTATGGACAAAAATTTGTATTAATGTTTGTAGATCTACTGTTTTCATACATTTCTTAAATGGTGCCATATATTGCATTCTGAAAAAGAATAAGCTTATGTTTAAATGCACATTTCTCTCTTTGTGTTATAAGAATTGTACAAATATGATGAAATGTCAATAGAAATTGTTTAGTCCTTTATTTTTCGTTTTGGATGTTGTGCTTAGTCTTTTCTCCCATTTTTTATAATTAAAAAAGAAAATTATGATTATTTTTTTAACCACAAATGAATTAAGAAAGTTCAAACTCAAGAAAGTGATATTGCATGTTAGTTGACCTTTATTAACAGCTTCGTTATTGTTAATACATTTCAAAAGAAAGTTGCAGTTTACAAATAATGAAAGTTTTAATGTAGAAGATTGCATATGCAAATGGCACAATATCAACTGATTACTGTAAGTACAATATGCCATCATTGAATCATATACCAAATGATATTTTATTAATTATGTCATTGCAGTAAAATTCATTTATTAGTTTCATGAATTATCTATCATTTATGGTATCTACTAATTAACTTTTTTCTTCCTGATGTTCTTTACTTCTTGTTAATTATATAAATATTCACATGCAAGAAAGTTCATATGATAGTTTAAAGAGTTTTATTATAGTTTTTTCCCTTTGTCTTAATGATTGTAGATTATTTTACACGTTTGAGTTCCTCTTGCTGTAGTGACACTTGATATTGAAAAATATTTCACATACTCAACAATTTGTTTATTAGAGGTGTTTCTTTAAAAGCTCATTATTTTATCACTTTTAGCATTCTCTATTTGTTTACTTAATGAGGCTAAATATTCCAGATCTTTGTTATCTTACTGTAACATACATCAAAGATTGATTGCTTTCTTCTGATTTCGATTATTATTTTCAAATCTTAAGACCTTATAGAGTGATGTTCTGCATCATGCAATTATGGACGTATTTTCTGTTTTTGTTAGATATTTGCTGTTTTGTAAATTTTAATTTTATAGTACAAAAATAACATCTAAGTTATTAATTTATCTGTTAATAAATAAATAAGAGCTTGCAATAAAAAAAGACTATTCAGAGAAGGATCAGTGAATTTGTTACAATTTTGTAATTTCCTGAAATTGAACTAATGCACTGAGTATTTTTCTACATGTGAATATGTAGAGGATATTGGAAATAATAGTGATTCTGCTTTACATGATGTTGTGACTAGGGGCTATTGCCTTGCGTAGTTGTATTTTAAAGTTTGTTCGTGGACTGAATTGTTGATGGCATGAGCTGTGATGTCAGTTATTAGGTGGCTGAAAGAAATAATTTTGTAGCGCATTAGCCTGAAGACAAACTATTCCTTAGCAATGAACTGTTATAAACTAATGTGAACTGTTCATGTACATTTCTCTTGTGCATGGTCTTTTGACTAGAGTTTTGCCACAGACCTTACCAGATCTTGAGTATAAAATTTATATAATATACATGGCAATATATTCTATGCAGTTGTGTTTATTGCTTTGTTAAATTCAATATTATTACAAGATACAGAAGAACTGTATTGAAAATTTGTTTAGTGTAGAATTTGTTCGACTGTGTTAATATATCAGTTGGGGAAAATATGGGTACAAGAGTATTGTCAAGTTACATGATTGTAAATATAAATGTATAATTCAAGTGACTTGCCTGATTCATGAAATTATGGAATTCACATATTTACTTCAAATTGTGGAATTCAATTCAGCTGTATTTTTAGTTCAATATGCATAATTGTGCAGAAGTATTGTTAAAAATGTGTACTATATTTACCAGAACAGTTGTTTGTGTTATAAGGATTTGAAATGACCAAATTATAAGGGCTCTTCCCTTAGTCCTTGAGAAAATTTTATTAAGTTGTATTTTATAAAATTTAATATTATTATTATTATTATTATTATTATTATTATTATTATTATTATTACTATCATGTTACTATTATTACCACTACTGCTACTACTGTGTACTTCCACATGTTTGCCCTTACTTGCACATATTGTTAGCTGGGTATGTAAAATCTGCAACGTAAATGTAGTTTACTTGTAAATTTAGAAGAGTCTATTGAAAAACTTATAACTCTACTTTTTGGACATCCTCCCATCAAAAATATCTTCACCTGTTCTCAGAAATTGTTACTGTATTCTATCACTATTGTTGTTGCCATTAGCAGTTACTCTCCATTTTGATACCCAGAATTCAAAGGGCAATTCGTTTGTACTTGAAGAAAATTTGAGCAGATGCAGATGAAATGTTTAGTCTTGTTGAGACTTGCAGAGGCTATGTCATTGCAATCTGAAAGCAATGTGTAATGCTTAAAAATTAGGTTCTTTATGTTTCCCAGTTTTCAATTTTGCTTTTGTTACAAATGATAAAATAAAACTCATTAGTACAGCAGTAATTGTGACATCAGCAATGTGCGTAGAATTACTCAAAGAAATAACTGTTAAATGGTTGATCTCATGATTCTTCACACAAGGCCTATTATATACACCTGCCATTTTCAGCTGATTACTGCTTGTCATTCTCACCAAGTGTGTATGATATATTCACATTAGTACCTGTCATTATTGGGAAATATAGTGAATCTAAAGTTGTAAATATTTGTGATGTTTATGTTGTCAAAATTGATTATTCTTATTTATAAGAAACTATTCACAATGACACTTGGACTAAGTAATGGTCAGTTTTGAGTATTGGAAAAGTGCTGCTTGCTTGCAAACAAATGTTCATTAATTTTCTTGTGTGAACACAAGACTTTTATTGGTTTGTGGTGTAAGAGATTGAACAATAAAGTGAGAGTTTACTCTTTTTACACTAGGATTGTACTCCAGCCAAATATCTTGTTAAGATGTATTGTGTGATACTATCTAAATAGATTAGATTGTTTCAGTGTGTAAATACTCAAACACTTGGTATGGACCAATTGACCCCCTTTCCTTACCAATGTTCCAGAGTGAGTTACCCAATGCAGATAATAGTTCTTACCTTAGCAGACCAGTGCAATTAAATATTATCCTGTTATTATATTAGCTCAGAATAGAGCAGTATCCAATTGTACCAACATGTCAAATTCTTATCTTACTACGGCCTATACAATAACATTTGCTCACCAAAGCGTGCATGTGCTTTTTAAAACTCTTTGAACTTAAAAAGTAAGGACACTTATAAATAAATGTGCCATATTGTAAATTGTTCAACTTTAGTGAAAGGAGTGCCCTTTGCTTTCTTTGCTTTTGTGAGAGTGATTGCAGCTGTGGAAGAAATATTGTAGGTTTACTAGCTGTTGTAGCATAATAGCCTGAATGAGGGCATTAGGAAAAAACATCCCTTGCCCCTGTTAGTTCGTAGTGCTAGTTTGACAGTTTTTGTCTCACTCTCCATATCGTGTCTGTTTTCTCTAAATGTGTGGTAAATCATGAATTGTCATTATGATTATTATTACTATTATTATTGTTAAGATGGTAATTTTTATTATTATTATTATTATTATTATTATTATGGTTTTAATAATTCTTATTATTGTTATTCTTTAATAGTTTGTCAGGCAGTATTGATCTTCTAAAGGTCCATTTAATGTGTATATATGTAGGTTATACATGTACGTGGGTTTTGATGCCAACTGAGTCAGTCAAAAGAATGTTGATACTTAAATTACATACAAAGTAATTGTAATATAGTGTAGTGTTAAGTAGATTTAGAACTGTGCATATTTATGTGCAGTTTACGTGACAGTATCTGTATTCACAGAACAATGGCATTCTTGTTGCAAGTCCTCCACAATTTCAAGCATTGAATGTGGAAACCAATGTCATAACAAGTGCATTCCAGTTATTTGTAGTTGCAAGTTATTTTGGACAGTGCAGCCAGTGCCCTTATATGTTGGTGTGTCAGATCATGTTGCAGTGTGAACTATCCGATGCATGAAATGGAAAGGAATTGTGAAAGCTCATAAAATGTAGCAATGCTATAATTTTCACATGCAGTTTTAATCAGATTATCCTAATATATAGCTGTGCTGTAGCTTTATTCTGTTCTAATGTCTGTTACTATTAAATCAGTGAAAATGAGACCACAATTCCTTTATATATTTAAATTTATTTATGATAGGATGTTGAGGGATGGAGATGCTATGTATGCTCTATCCTGCTGATGATTGAATGTTGCATAAATGCACAAATACACTGGCCCAATTGTCCTATTTCTGAGCTTACTCCCTGCTCGTGTGAAATCTTTGTGTTGGAGGTATATGTGTCACTACAAAATTATCTTCTGTTTTTAATTTTGCTTTACGATATGTAAACCAGTTGTAATGTGAAACAATGTGTTCCTTCACAGGCTTGCTTGAACGAATTTTTTTATGTAGACACATCAAGGTTTCACAGTACCTTTCCTTGTCTGTGATTTTTTCTCTAATTATATTTGAGTTACAATGAAGACTAACTGAAATTGTAACAATGGTAATGTAGTTAGTTAGATTGTATTATTTATTGACCTTGTACATATAATAGTCTTGTTGCAAATAATAGAAAAGTTGGTCATATTGACGTATTGTGTTTTTTATCTTTAAACCTTATTTACTGGTAATGATTATCTGAGATAATACATCCTGACCATTTTCAGACTTCAGGTTACTGATCTTTTTGAAAAGGTATACATGCCCTCAGATTGTTACTATCTCTCTCTCTCTCTCTCTTTTTTTTTTCTTGAAAAATTTAAATACCCCCAAAGTATTAGTTATTGTGATGTCCTAATGATTGCTGTAACCGAACATAAAATCATTCGTATAACTTCAGTGCAAATTTATTTTAATTTTTATGAATTATATCTTCAATAGCAAGAAAGAATAATGTAAAATTTTTGACCTATCCATTCAAAACTGTTCAAAGATAGTTTTAACAAATCTTCAATTTTTGCAGTTTGTAGCCTTTGCTTTATCTCCCAATGGCAGTTAATTTTTAAAAATTGCTAAACGAGCAATTGGAATATTCTAATTAATTGGTAGGATCTAAATTTTACAACAAGGCATTGTTGCTTTTAACAAGAAATGTTACGCTTGACACAATAAATTTTATTAAGGTTTCATAATGACATGTTAATGGTATTTTATCCAATATTATTTCAATTTCTCTCTTATTTTCTGAAATCAAAACTTGTATTTTTTATTTGTATATGAATAAGTTAAAAAAGAAACTTCCAAATTTATTTATTTGGTGAGAATATGAATTAAAGTTTTGACAATTTTGTGATTGCAGACTTTATTTAAGAGGATATTGACTTAGTTTAAACAAATTAATTTCCAGATGATTCAGAAGTAATAGAACATTTGAATTATTCGCTGTGAAATAATCCCAGAATCTCCTATTTGCTTTCACAATGTTGACTAATTGTTGAAAGGATTATGCAAATTATCAATATTATCGCATCCTTGTACCAATGGTCTTGAAACTACAAATATTGTAAGAAATTGAATGATAACTAAGAAGAATTTATGGGAGAAGAGCAATACAGATTTAGGAAAGGCAGAAGCACAAAATATGTCATATTTGCAATACAGATGATACTAGAGAAATGGAATGAAAATAATTTACCAACTTTGTATTATATCTTAGGTTTTGAAAAGACATATAACCATGTAAACACAACAAAGAAGAAAGCAGAGAAATTGTGGTTAAGGCAAATATCCCCCAAGAGATAATAATCAGAATTCAAACCCTATATACAAATTAGAGAATGAAGATCAAATTGAAAGATTGACACTTACAAAAGCTTTTGAGACTAAGATGATTAAGAGAAGGATGTGGATGATTTCTGTCTTATGTTTATGCTGATCATATGATGCAAAAATGGAAAGAAAGGTTACCCCACAGAATAAATCTAAATAAAAGACAACAGTTACAATCAATTTTGTATGCAGATGATTTGGTAATAGTAATGGAAAAAGATGATGATCTACATTTCACATCACATAATGTCAACAATGAAAACTAGAGCAATGACCTTTCAAGGAAAGAAAATTAGATGGATCTAGATGGTAATAGGGGGTGAAATAATAGAGCAAGTATCCAATTTATTTTATCTAGGCAGTAATATGAGACAGAATACAGAGGATAGAAGATAATACAAAAGTGTAACAAAGTTAATGGAATAATCAAGAAACATTTTGAGAGACATGATTCGGAGGGGGGGAACATGAATACACATGACATCCAAACCTATATTGTTATTTAGATCAGAAACCTGGACTGTGAAAAGCAGATATCACCAAAGAATGGAAGCATTACATGAGATTCCTTATATTTCTGAGATAACATGGATTGTCATTGGAATGTTGATGTAAGGAAAAACTCTTAAGTAAAAAATAAAAGGAAATCAAAATAAATTGTTTAAATGTGTAAAGAGAATGAAGAGTGAAACACTCAAAATTAGCATTAACATACAGGCCAAAGAGAAAATAAAGAGAACTGCTATATCTATTCGTGATAATGTTAGTTGGCAAACTTTGTCAAAGAGTAAGATACACTTTAATTTAACTAAACTAAAATATTCCCAAAATGTAAGATAAATCTAGAAGTATAAACCACGAGCTCTACTGTACAATCAGGAACAAGCACTAGAACTAACACCTGCATTTAAGATTATGATTATGATCAACATTATTTGATTATGGAGGTATTAAAGATCTTTTGAAATCTAGTTTTGGATACAAGAAAATAAAGGTTTTGCGTATTTCATATGTGTTGAAGTTAGGATAGTCCTTGGATATTCCCTTACTGCTTCAGAAATGGGAGTAATGAGACACGTTTGTGATCTAAGTAATAACAAAGAATTGGAAGAAAATATTTTTGATCTAGCCTTGTTTTTGTACTTACATGTTTCAAAAATGAATTGTTATTTAATATAAATTGTAAAATAACATTTTGTTTTGTCTCAACTTAAAATAAAAATTATAGATGTGAGACTTTTTTAATTAAATTATATTTACTTTTAAATTTTAATTTGCTTCTTGATGTGTGATTTTTGTAGTGTGGGCTAAAAAATTATTTCTTGTAACTCAAGATCAATATACCACCTGTTTGTATTCAGTCTTATATCCTGCCTGATAATAAATATTGTGAATTCATTTGGAAGAACTAGTGCATATAAATGATTCATGACTTTTAATCATTGCTGAGAAATACAAGAGAATTCTTAAGACTATTGGCATCATGATCTTTACAACACTTGAAAGACAAGAAACAAATATCTCTATCTCCTAGGAAGCACAGATTAGTACATGCTATAACAGAATCTTAGATACCTGCTACTACTAATTTAATAAATCAATAGTTTAATTTGAATTTCATTATATTTTCATCTTCTCAGTTGGTGAAAAATATTAATCTATAAGTAAACATTAAATTCTCCAATACACAAAAGTTATGAATTCATAAAAAATTCTACATAGTGCAGTATTAGACAACTGTGCAATTTGATACAGCGTTTCATCCATGCTGTGGATTTTAATGAAGTTTCATACTGACTTGAGCACAGTGGATACAATGATATTTATAAATTAGTACACAATGAATTAGTCTTTAATAACTTTGATTGAAAAGGACTGAAATATAGTTGATCCATTCTCTGTATATTCTATTTTTGTTTGAATTCAGTACCCCTTGAGACATCATTCATGTACGAGGACCTGTTATCGGCTGTTCCTGGGAGCAATCACTTCAAACAGAGGGGATAAATACAAAAATAGATGTCAGAAACTAAAAAGTTAATGTTCTTTTTAATGTAAAAATTATATTAACAATAAACATTTTCAAAAACAGTCAGCTAAGGATAAAGTTTAAGACAATAAACCTTTCCCATGATCACAAATTGTATTTCAGAATTTAAGCCACTGTACAGTTTGTATGAATAATTTTTTTGTTTATGATATGTTCTGAGAGTGAGGAAAATACATTTTAAAATTTTTCTTATCATTTTACCTAAATCTATCTAAATTTCCTGTAAAATAAACAATTCAAAGGACATTTTTTATGAAACAATTCGAAACACTTGTAATATCTGTTTTTGAATTGGCTTTGGGATCAGATTTGTTACATTCAAACTTGTCTACAACTTTTAAAGCCATATATTTTATCTCAACTTTCAAAAAGTGTAAATTGTGCTGTTTTCTGTTGTTTTTTATACATTCAAGGCACATGTTTCTGGGTACAATTTAACAACACAACCATTAACAATTTATTGGGAGATATGAATGATAAGTTAAAATGACATTCTCTTGAATTTGTAAAACAGCAATTATTAATAAATAATAAAATCTGTAGCTTATTGGTATATTGAAATTAAATAAGAACACCTCGTAAACGATAATATAAAAACCAATAAGATTAAACACTTATAAATATGCTAGATCCTTTCTTTTATATCCAGCAAACCTCTGTCTCTAACAATTAAGAGAGGGTAGTGGGTTTCTTCAGGGATTTATGAGTGAAGAGGAAGTCTCTCTCATTATTCTGAACAGAGGCACTTTTATTCAATGCATAACATTCATTTCTCATCAATTTTTGTTTGCGATGTCTGAGGAACATCATTCAGTTCAACATGATCCATTATTGCTAGCAAAAACCTTTTGAATTTATTATTCAATGAAATATGTTTCCTTTTGTTCTCCTTTAAATTAGTCACCATAGAAATGCAGAGGAGCAATAAAAATACCTTCATCAGACAATGAATAGTATCTCACCAGGGCATCCTCAAAATATCATACTTTATTTCCGATGTATGTTCAGAATACATAATGAAACATCCCACTCAAATATTAATTAGTACAATTGATAAATTATATTTTGAATATAAGTATTGCTAGAAATACAAAATGACTCAAAGTGTATGACAAATTCAAAGTAAGAAACAGAAGGGTATAGCAAATGTATAGTCAGGAGCAATTTTATTACTGTAATTTAATTAGTAATCAATTTACTTGTAATTGTAAATAATCCAATTAAAAGAATATATTTGTATGCTGGTAATCCTGAAACAACTTTAAAACATGAAATTTTGAACCTGGGTCCTTTTTTTCTTCCTTGAATGGGCAGTTCTCTTGATATTGTGCTAATTAAGTGATCACAACCATTATCAGAAATTTAAACCAAATGTGACTAAAAGTTCTGTATTAGAGCCTTTTAAAGTAAAAAAAGTACCCTTTTTGATATTTCACTTCATAAATTTTTAATATTTCAGCAAAGAAGGGAAGTAATGTATACAAGTACTGAAATTATAACGTCTGCATCAAAACATAATATTGGTGTTCAAATAAAAATATTAGATGTTGTCTCTTATGAATTATTTCATGATTTTGTATAAGGTTACATTAATCTTAAAAATATTTTACATGTATCGTACTAAAATAAGTATTTGAAACTTCTCTGTACTTAAAGATATATATAAAGCAACTCCATAATCAAAAATAAAAGTTAACTGTTGAACAAAACACAACAGTGGAAATAATATGTGAACTTGTTACAAAATATTTATCGCTACAAATGGCATCTTTACATTGTCTTTGTCATGTAAATACAATTGAGGTGGCACTAAACCATTCGACATTCATTTTGTTAATAATTATAAAATAATCAAGTTTGACTTCATCTTAACCCAATTCTTATAATTCACTTTATACATTCTTGTAACTACTGAAACCTTCAATTCCTAGAATCAGAGAAGTCTGTTGCAAAGCTGTTAGTTTGCTTGCAAAAGTTAACACTAGAGAATGTCCCAAATTACATTCTCTGTAAGAAATGTTCTTTTGTGGCACAATTGGAAGTAGCATATCATGATTTCTGGCTTTGATGACTATGTACTGTGGACAAACAAGAAAAGGAAACTCATGCAATTAAAAAGCATATCAAAATTTGAAAAAGTGGATAAAATTAATAACTAATTTTATGATAGAAACATCAATTAAATTAGATTTTTAAAAAGACTTCTTTTGAAAGGAAGAGAATATTGATTATAGAAAAATTAAATTGTTTACAATAACAAGTTACACAAAAACAAATTGCTACCACTGAAGTGATTACTCTCAAACTAGTCAGATTAAATCCGAATAATTCTTAGGAGGACATTACCGATAGTCAAACTGATGTGTTCTGGTTGACTGAAATATACTTCCATTTCTTAAATTGAAATTTCTGGTTATTAATAGAGAGACTTCTCAAGAATTGGAAGAGAATTGCAGTGAGCCATTGGTTGAGTACATGCTATAAAATCAGCAGTCGCTGTTATTCAATGTATATCGGTGAAAGTGAAGAGACTGTGCTGGGCTCTTGCGAACTTCGCAATCGTCAAGGGAGCTGATAAGGGTCCTTAGGTTGAAGTTGTTTTTATTATTATTATTATTATTATTATTATTATTATTATACATCTACTTCACAACCAATGATGCTATAAGACAGTTGATTATTAAATCTACTCCATGTTGCAACCAGCTTCCCAAAAAGCCGATCTAGGGACTGTCTGTGCCTCTGCTTAGGTAAAATGTGGGCAGTTCCAAATATAGCAATGTCTTGCACTTCCCAGTCTTTTTAATTACATCTGAGATTAGCCAAGTTCTCACGCACATTTTGCGGAACGAAACCCAGAGCCCCGATTACTATCGGGACGACCTACTACGCTTTTACGCCCCACATTCCACTGGTCTCGATTTCCAAACTCATGTATTTAAGACGTTCCTCAGCCTCATTGGTTACGACGTTTTGATCGCACGGCACAGCCATATCTACAAGTAGTTTTTCTCGAAATACCCGGTTCGTTTGCCGCTATCATGCAATCAAGATTTACTTAAAAGTCTCACAATATTGTACACAGTCTAACAGACGTCACCGGTTTTGGAGAGTGTTCGTACCACTTGGAACTTCGAGTGCGTTACAGATCTGCCCCTGGAAGAAGCTACACACCTTATCGCGTATTTTAATGCATTCGGTTTTTGCTAGAATTGGACAAGCTGAAAGAATATGATCAATTGGTTTCTGCTTGTTCATGACAGATGTGACGTCTTGCATCTTGGGAAATTTTGAATCGCTTTATTATCATGTGTTCTCAAAGCCTGGCCCTGACCTGGGTCAGCTGTTACAACTGCTTCCGATTCTGGCTTCATTCTTCCCCTTTTAAGTCACGTAAATGATTGATCTATATTGATCTGCACCTTGTCCGTTCTTTTTAGATATTGTACTTGGAGTGGTTTGTTTCTCCACGATCTCTTTAACATGTTTGTGTCTCGCATTTCATCAGAAGTTTAGTGACTGCATAGACGAAGTTCAGCGTGTCTTGCACAGTTTTCTTCACAGTACTTCTTGCTGCACTTACAATGCCTGTTTTCCATTCTTCGGTCATATATAATGACAAGCCTCATTAATGGGTCATCTTGATGACTACATACTTTCCCATCCCGACTATTGCATTGTGCCAGGAGGCTTCGATTTGTCTGAGGCATCTTCCTTACGTGACACAGTCTATATTCATCAGCTCGAGGTTGGGCGACATGATGCGATTTTCGATTCATGATTCGAATTTCTTGCTCGGTCCATTCCACAAGTGCGAAACTGTAGTCGACTGCAGGCACTGCCAAACTACCAATTGCAGATATTTTATTCCTGAAGTTCAGAGCGGACTGTAGGACAAGTCTCACTCTTCTGTAATATTCCATACGAATTCTATCTCATTGCGTAGTTCGAGATGTTCTCACATTCTTCAATGCCAAGATATTTGTAAGTTTTACTTGTCTCAAGACCTTGAATCACAGCGTGCACATCAAAATCAATGCTCTCTGACGATGTTACTTTGCCTTTCTTTAAATTGACTTTTGCACATTTGTCAAGACCAAATTTCATGCTGATGTCATTGCTAAAATCATTGACAGCATTTGGGAGACATTGGATTCATTTTTAGCCAACACATTAAGATCATCCATGCAAAATAAATGTAATGTTGGTCTTTCACCACCATGGAGCTTATAACCAAAGCCAATGTGCGATAACTGTCTTGATAGTGGAATCAAAGTAACGCAACCGCAGAAGGGATAGCGATTCTCCTTGGAAAATACCTCTGTTAATCTGAATACTTATTGTTTCTACTACTTCCTTTCCGCTGTGTATTAGTAATCTGATACTCCACTTCTGCACACTAGCCTCGCAAAACTCAATGAGTCTGGGATGAAATCGACAGACCTTCAGGCTCTGCAAAATCCAGTCGTGTGATACACTGTCAAAGGCCATCTGATAGACGATCCAAAGTCATGCTCAAATTACGTTTTTGTTTACTTCCATCACCGAGGATGACCTTGTTTAGTAACAATATTTACTTAAAGCCATTGGTACCTTTACTCCATTCTTTCTGTTCAACTGACAGCAGATGGTTCTTCTTTAGGTGTGTGTACATTTAGTTAGTCATGGCTGCAGTTATAACTTTGCACATTACTGGTTCTGATTGGCATGTGATGGGCATCGGAGAAATCACAGGAAAACTACCGATCAGAGCTGCCGGTCGCTAGAATTCTTGAATCTAGGACCTCCTGGTCAGAGAAAGTTGAAACCCTGAGCCACATCTCTAGGTTTTTTATCATCATCATCATCATCATCATCATCATCATCATTATTATTATTATTATTATTATTATTATTATTATTATTATTATTATTATTATTATTATTACTGGCGTATAGGCCATTATTGACCACGCTACATGATTAACTTGTGTAATTTTTATAGGATCAGCATTTCAACTGTATCTCTCTTTACGACAAGGTTGTTACGCCTTGAAGTGTGATTTATGAGATGATAGCATGATGATGAGGGGTGAACGGACAACCACAAATACGACCATGTCACGCAGGACTTGAACCTGCAGCCTCCTCGGCGCAGACATTATTGTTGTTGCTATTATTACGTACGGCATCCGTGCGTATCGCTGCTCACCTGACGGGGGCGGGGGAGCGCAAGAGGCGCGCGGCGTCGGCGAGCGCGCGCGCCGAGGTGCGCACGAGGAACCAGAGGCGGCAGCGCTGCGCGGCCGGGGAGTGCGCGCCGCGCGCAGCCAGCGCCGCCACCAGCGCGCGCAGCTCGGCGGCACGCTCCAGGTCCAGCCAGCGCTGCAGGGCCTCCTCGCTGTCGGTGGAAGCTGCGTCCGCGCCTTCGCTCGCCGAAGGCCCCCACAGAGAGAACTCTAAAGCCGCTTGCGCGCGCGACAGGGAGTCCGCGCGCTCCTGCAACACACGCACGGGCGTTGAGGCTCCTTCACATAGCACACACATTATCAGTAGCATGGCCTTCACATAAAAGTTAGGACTACGTGCATAAGCGGACTCATTCGCAATGCGTTCACATAAGCATAGCACGTAAGACGTTAACTTAAAAGCTTGCAAGCTTCAAGCTTCTGTGCTTATGCCTAAGTAAGACATAAGAAATGAACCAATCACAGAACGGTAACTCAAAATCAAGAATCGAAATCAGAGCCAAGTCGATAGAAGAACTAAGGCCGTATGGGCCATGGACACAGTGGATACCTTGAAATCGATTCTCACATCCTAACAATAGTAAACCAGAATGTCTCACAGCCAATAGAAACTCTTATTTTGATTACGTTTACGTTTGGCATTGCGAATACTTCACTCTATCACTTATGTTAATGTTTGTCTATGCGCTATGCTTAGGTTTACGTTTGCATTGTGAATGGACCTTTATATAAATGTTTACGTTATGCTTATGTTTAAGTTTGCATTGTGAATGGGGCTTAACGCTTCTTCACAATGAATTTTAAACGTTCCCGTAAAAGCTTGGTGCCACGTTATTGAACAGAACCCATCACATTCGTCAAAGTTAATATTATAAGATATAACATCTAATATGTTGGGTGTGTCAATATATAATTAACGTCAAATACCGTTAAAAACTGCGGGGACGTTCTATGGGGGTACAGGTTGATCTTGTGCTCTGGAATACATATCGATACTCTTATACAATATTGAGAATTGTGAGCATTTTAAGCAAGTTTTGCTACTTCATTTCAAAACAAGAGCGTGATTGGCAACGAGAAACAATCATTCTTTTTGGACTATTACAAATAATATCGTTTGAGCTATAGTGTATTTGCCTCCCTTCATTGAATCGTATGACTTTAAGAGTGCACCAATGAAATCGAATCGTTTTGAAAAAAGAAGACCCACAGTTAGATTCCAGCCCTTTTTGAAGCATTCTTTTCCTTACGTTTTGAGTGTAGTGTACTGGCAACGATAAAGCCGTAAGCCGTACCCAAAAAGCTTCACATTAACTCGTAAAAGCCTTCGAAGATTTAGCCATACATATTTGGTTGTACAATTGTCAATGATCCGTTAATCATATAAACATCACGGAAAGAAAATCAAACAAATTAAAGTGTTGAAAACGCAGTCTCAATTCTTCAAATTCGACGGCCAATGTCACCTAAGTGAAGATTGGTTCCTCGTGGTGATTTCAACTCTCGATCGCACGGGGAACTCACGCCCACGAGGGCTGTAAGCCTGAGGCGCGTAGTCGCGCACCTACGTTTTTTTTTTCTGCGTCACGAGGACACGAATCGCCACCTTCGGCCCCCACGGGGGCGTAACCTCAAGCGAAGAGTCGCAGCGCCATGAGCAGGTGGTGGTGCCCAGGGCCTTTTAACTCGACAGGCTTATAAATTAGGAATCCGATATCAATGTCCATATTTTCAAAATATCGATTTTTACTTTCTTCCCAAGGAGTATGTGAGCAATGCTTAACAGCTAAACCGTTCAGCCGATTTGCTCCAAAATTGGCATTCCTCTGTCGATCTAGTTGATGGCTCAGCCCCTTGAATTTGAAATCGATATATTAATTTTTGGGGTACATAAATCCGCTGGTACGTTTTCAAAAGTTTCAACAAAAATGGCACATCGTTTTTGATTAAATATTGTTGTTGGATAGTGTGGAGGGCATTTAAGAAAATGGTGCAGGTTTCGTGTTCGTTAAAAACTCTGATTTTTCAAAAATTAGAGAAGTTCAAAAATTTTTCGGTTTTGCTACAACTAAAATATTAAATATAGAGAATTTTCCCCTTGATTAAATATGTTTCTTAGAGATAGATTTTGAAATAAGGTCAACAATTTTTCGAAAATTTGAGTATTTTTCTCATTATTTTGCGTGAAAATACGGGGGAGAAAGTATGTGTTGTTTTAACACCTCTAGTTTTATAGAAACATTAATATAGTGAAACAAATTTCAGTATTAATAAAATCCAAAACCTCCATGATACCGTCAGTTGTTATAATTTCGTCTTTGTCTTACCTGGCGGGGCTAACGGTTGAAAAGAGTCGGCTGTTCAGTTTGCCCTACGCCATGTATCCAGACACTGTGGTATGCACACAGTGGGGAGGGGCAGGGGGGACAACCCCTTCAAATTTCGAAACGGATCCCACATAAAAAATAAATATTTTAATTTATCCTAATATGATCAATTCCTGATTCCCCCTTTTTTAGCTGACTCTGTCGGAAAGTGACATACGACATTTCGAGGAGAAGCTCTTCCAACAATCTGCCATACTATAAATGGTTTACCATAAAACCAATTGTTTTTATCAATTGTGTAATTAAGTTACGATTTTATTTATTTAGTGGTAAAATATATCATTTGTAGATAAAAAAAAGTTTAATGGAAAAGAGACCTCCAGAAATATAGTTCTCCCTCCTTACGTAGGCTGACTGTAGACTATGGTGTAAGTTGTTGTAGGCTGACGCACTTTTGACTGAACTCCTTCTCACCTGCGCTAGGAGCTGCGCGAGGGGCGCGACGAGCGGCGCGCGGTCGGGCAGCAGCAGACGCAGGGCGGCCGCCACGCAGGCGCCACAGCCGAGCGCGCCTCGCCGTCCGGCCGCCCCCGCCACGCCCCCGCAGGCGGCGCCGCCGCCCAGGCAGCGCCGCCTCGGGCAGCGCGCACACGCGGGGCGCGCGCGGTGCGACTGCGGCGGCGGCGCGGGGCCGCGGGCGGGCGACGCAGGTCGGCTCGCGCTCTGTGACTCGCGGGCGCCGCGCCGCCAACGTCGCTGACGCGTCGGCCGCCGTCGCTGGCGGCGGCGCTCCTGTGCCACACACCACGAAGCCCTCGAGCGCCGCCCTCCTCCTGGCGCGCGCCTGCAGCGCCTTGAGCGCGTTCACCAGCTGCAGCAGCGCCACGCCGCCGCCTGCTCCGCCTTCCGGGCGCCACCGCCGCCGACGACGGACGACGCGCCGCCGCGCGCGCAGCTCGGCCCGTACTCGGCCAGCGGACTGCACGCGCGCCGCCGCAGCACCGACACCCACACTGCGGAACACACGGTTCTTACACCACAGGACTGGAGAGTCTTCGCCGCAGGTCCCACCCTGTGTTCAATGAGCCAAGACGCCTGTGACGTCGACGGCGGAATTGTGGACCGAAACAATTTCCAAAACAAAGGCAAGCTCTTGAATTGAAATTGTCTCTGATGCATTAAAATAAAATATTTAGTTGTTTTTATTTTTTATTATTTTATTATTATTATTATTAGATTGGTCTTACATTATTCACAGTATCTACTGGTCTGGTATGTCAACCACACACAGGTATTGATGACCAGGTGCTGTGGTTGCTTACTGAAGGTTTCAGATGGCTTCTGACAATACGGCATGTATTCAAAATTACTGTCTTTTGCCATATTATATACATTCCTGGTATCCAAGTGAAGACACTCCAGTGCCCGAAGTGTCATTTTCGGGGATCACTCCCGTAGCTGATATATTATAGGCACAGGTTCCACTTTTACTGAAGTTCCACTGAGTTGCGACTTCATAAGGCGAATTGATATTACTTCTGGATCTTCTCTGATATTTCCCGATATTTGTGGGATTGGGTATTTATATATCGATAAGGAAAAACCTGCTTTTGGTTTCTATCAATGTACGTTATATCTGGTCTATTTGCCGCCGACATGGTCTGTCAGTGATAAATGGAACGATGCCCCAGTAGAGTGTGTAGCTCACTACTTTTCAAGCACATTCTGAGGCACATAGTTTATAAATACGGCACGGAAAGTGGCGAGTTAAGCCGTTCTCAACGCCAATAATTGGTTTGTGTACTGCTTCGCCAACTTCATCATGCCCTCTTTTTGTATTCCACCTGTGCGTGGCCTGCTACATCCACTTTGTACGGTGTTGGATAGTTTTCGCTTGCAGCCTCACATCTTCTACCGAGTCGAAATGAAATGGTAGAATCTCTCAGAATGGTGTTTTCTGTAGTTCCAAATGTTGGTACCACTTGGTCCTGGGATATCTATTTCATGAAGGCTTCTGTCTCCGGAAAGAGATCCCCGTGCCTTGGAGCCATGCCGTGCGACGCAGAGATGTCGACTTCTGGTTTACTCAGCTCGTGAGGTACCTTCATGCAGTGCCTTTGTTTCCAATAAGGTTATCTTCTCTCCGTTTTCAATGATTGGTTGAACAGGCGATTCAGCTTTTTCAAAGTTCAGAGGACCTATAGTTATCAACTTGCATTTCACTGCTGCTGAACTCTCCCACAATGTTCCAAGAAGTATCTTCTGAGTGAAAGCAATTTGAGAGCTGTGTAGATTTATGAGATCTACAATACCTCGCCCTCCTGCGACCCTTGGAAGGTTAAAAACGCTCAGTACTTGAGTGGGGATGATTGTTTTCGTGTTGAGTCATAAAGCGCGTTCGAATGTTCTCTGGAGGTTGTCGCAGGTCGGTATTGCGTCCATTTAATAACGCCAAAGGAGTATGTCAGCACTGGAATAACAAATGAATTGATGGCCTGCACAAGGTTTTCTAGCAGAGGAATGAGTTTTTAAGAGCCCATGCAATCGTTTACACCAGTCTTTTTAGTAGTTATTTTCTTAGTAAACAGATTACGTTTGATTCGGAGTGACTGTTGGAAACCCAAGTATTTGTAAGTTTCATGGGGTTCCATGAAGTAATCTTGGTTCATTATTCAGTTTTCCAAATTGATAACTTGCAATATGACGCCGAAACGATATTCACGTTCTCCTGCACTTATCCAAACCGAAATTTCATCTTAATGTCGTCATGAACTTCTCCGTCACGTTATTAGTTGCCGCATATGACTCTCAGTGTTCTTGCATAGAAGCTTCAGGTCCATCCATGTAAAGGAGATGTGAGCACCGAAGAAGAGGTTGAGTTTTCCCCTTTTTAAGAGCGATTCCATAATTAGATGATTAAGTAGAGTAGAGAGGGGATTCAAGGCAACAGAACAATAAAGGCTTAAAGGTCACCCTGGAAATCCCTCGGCGGATGTGTTATTTAGTATCTGTGTGGGACGATTGTTTTCCATTAGAGAGATACAGTTTTGTATTCCATCGACCATTTCGCAGTTTCAGGAAGTTTGGATAAACGGGTGGACCTTGTATACATCCAAACATTGAAAGGAGCCAAGAAGGGGCAAAAACGGTTGTTCGAAATGCTTTAGCGTAATTTAACTGTAGCATTGCGTACAAGTTCTTTGGGTTTTTCAAGCACTTGCCCCATGATTACAGAGTTCTATAATGAGTTGCTCCTTGCATCCCTGAAGTCCAGGTCTACTCCTTTCTGTTCATTTGCTAAGATGTTCTGTTCCTCCAATGTGTGTCATCATCATTATGCGAAACACCAAGATGTGTTTTGTTATATTATTATTATTATTATTATTATTATTTATTATTATTATTATTAATTTATGAATGTGACGATATGAACACTTGAAATATTGAAGCAAAAGTAACTAAATTTAGTCCGAAAAAAACAACGTATCAAAATCTTATGAAATTATTCTTTTTATAATGGAATACAATATGCGTATAAATACAAAGGTATTTAAATAATTTTCGATAAATTTTTTGTGCGGCAAATTTTTAAATACATTCTCTTTGACTTAAAATGTGTGTTCTGAAGTTGTATTTGATTTTTGTCGTTAAATCATTTTGGAAATTATTTTTACAACATAAAATTTACAAAACACTATAAAATATAATTTAAAAGGGTTAGTCTCTCTCCATGGAGGCCCTAAGCACTTGCTTCGTCTGTCGCATGTATTACCCCCTCGAGTGCGCGAAGAAGCTCAGCCGAGTCGCAGCGGCGCGGGCTGGGTTCGCACGCACCTGTGTCGTGCGGGTGCTGAGTGTCGGGGCGCAGCGCGGGCGGCGAGTTCTTTTGCTGCGGCGGCGGCGAACTCCGCGGCGGGGCGAGGGCGCGTGGGCCCCCGAGGCCGCGGGCGGCGAGCGTCCGGGCGCGCAGGCCCCCTCGCCGCCCGCGCCGCGCACAGCGCACCTCGGCCGTCGCCGCCCCGCACCCCGCCCTCCCAAGGCGCGCGCGCGCCAGCGCGCCCGTCAGCCGCCCCGGCCGCCCACTCGGCCGCCCCCGCCGCGGGCCGGAAGTGGTCGGGGCGCAGCGCGCCGGCGTCTGCGGCGTTCCGCAGGGCTCGCAGCGCGCCAGGCGGAAGCGCCGGCGCAGCAGCGGCCGCCGCCGCGCTCAGCGTCACCTGCAAAAGCGTGCGCACCCTCAGCAGCGGGCCCCGGTCCAGGGCAGGGATGCCTTTGTTCACCCCAGGTTCAATGGGCGTGGCATCCTTGTCCGTTGGAAGAACAGTGAAGCCTACAAACATCATATGGTAAAACAAACCTGGATGTAATTAACTATAAACGTTGTAGTTTTTACACATCGATTTGAACATAAAGACCGTTGACGTTTATTCAGTTGTTACGGTGTAATCCAATCGGAAGTTTAAACGTTATTACAGTAGTGACGTTTAAGCTCCTGATTAGAAGACAACGTAACAGCTGATTAAACGTCAACGGACACTGTGATTAAATCGAAGAAAAACGTCATTAAGCCGAAGTAATACAAATACCGCTCCCGATTGATGTTTACAAACGAGTTCGTTATTTGTGATATTGGCTGTACGTCGTTCAACATCTTTCGTAATACCTTCTTATAAATAAATCACATAAATAAGAAATACTACCATTTAACGGGAATACATCTATGCCTTCTTTAGCTAAAACTCCGGTGTTTAGATTGTTCTTAGCGGTTGAGGGACTATCAAAATCCTTGATGGTCGCCGACCGTTAAGAGGCTTTTCGTCCCTCTATTTGCTTGTGTTGTGTCCATTTAAAAGAACAGAATTAAGAACATTTTCGAACGATATCAAAATGGCTATAATTTTTTGAATGCATATATCACAGTCGGAGTTGTCAGTAATAATTTCTACTATTTGAATTCCATTATTGTGATGAGAGTGTGCTTGACCTGAATAGAGTGAAAGTTGTCAGAAAAAAACGTAATTGTATTAAGTTTTTCGTACATTATCGAAGAGTCAAAAAGGTCTTAATGAAATAATATAGTTCGCCAAGGACCCAAATGAACGGATGTAATTAGCAGATATTTAAATTTAGACGTTCGTGTCCATTCCCCTTAATGTGTTTCATAACGGAGAAAACTACGTAATCCGTCCATCTACGATGAGAAACTAGGAAGTGTCATACGTTGTACTGAAATATTTAAATTATCTTTCCATAAAATTGTGCATAATTGCACTACATTTCGTCTATCTTTTTAGTTAGGATGATCTTTGGGGACACAATTTGTCCATTGCACGTCAGAAAACCGTGACACGGAAGAGTAAGCTAAAAGCTTTTCGGGAGACAGCGAAACAGCGTGCGTTCCATGCGGCTAGTCCAAATCAAGGTAACTCGCGCTTCTCTACCTCGGACGAGTGTCAACGCCGTTTCGCACACCGCCGCTGCTGACGTCCCGCTCCGTTCCCCGCGGTCGTGAACGGACGCGGAGGAGCGCACGGTTTGTGTGTGCGTGCGTGGGCGTACTCACGCGGTCGAGGGCGTGGGCGAGCGCCTCGTGGTTGGCGCCGACGACGGCGCCGTACGCGTCCTCCAGGCTGCGGTGCAGCGCGGGCCGCGCACCTCCCGCGCGCCCCCGCGCCAGCCCGGCCACGCCCCCCTGCCACACACACGCGCGCGCGCGCTCGCGTCAGACTCACTTACCGCACAAGGGGGCGAAAGAGAAGTTTAATGAAAATGGGAGACGCCATGATTATTAATATTCATTAAAACATACTTTTTACAATGCAATTAAACTCCAGAAATATACTGCAGTGTATAAGAAGTGGATGGCAGGATTCGGCGTTAGCTCCCATCTCCACGGCTGCGTAAACACTGCTTCATGTCGTCCTAAATTCACTCGTCTAACCCCCTACACCGATTCAAGTATGTACAGTAGATAACAATGACCATGTTTGGAAAAAGAGGCGCCGCTGTGGAAGATGACCTCTGGCGTCACACAGAAGAAACTTTGCAACGTAATCGTCACCGTGGTGGGTTTTGGCAGTTCTGAATGTCATTATCGGCACCATGATCATTACCATCAACTACCCTTGGAGTATACACTCTAACATGTTGAGCTCCACATGCTACTGGTGCCCTATCACACTCCAAACTCTCTCCTATGAAGTGAACTATTTGTCCCCTGTACGGCCTGATTACCTTACTAAGGGATCCCACAATAATATGGAATATTGAACAAGTTTATTCAAAATTAAAAAAGTATCAAAATAAGCTAGAAGCTGTCTTCGAATAAATGTTACAAACTTCTAGATCGTGTAGAGATGCCATAAAAGATCAGTTTTTACCAATGAACGTTTGGTGATAAATCTCATACAAAGAAGTTACTTCTACAACTTTTGTCCCTGATTGGAAGGCAACTCATCGTCATGCTAACATGCTATTCGTCACATAAATGTTCTGACGCAGACGAATAGGCTTTGTGTACTTGAGAAACACTGTAGCCAGGTCGGTTACTTTCAAAACAAGAGAAATATCACATATGTAACTTCTATATATGAGATTTTCCACATGTTCATTGGCAAAAAGTGGTAATCTTCAACCTATCTACAAGCAGTACAAGGTTGTTTCGTTTATTTCAGACATGTACGTGATATTTGCAATTAAATTCGTATTTAACTATTTTTACATATTTATTAATACAAAATTTTGTTTAAAAAGTTAATTGCGGACCCCTATCTAGAGAGAGCCTTGCACATGTTTAGTCTTTTAGTTATGAAATATTCCGTTTCCGGTACTGTACAAGTACGAATGTTACTATATTACATGCGTTGAGGGAGGGGGAGACGTACCTGTGAGGGCGCACAGGCGGCGTAGAGGGCGTCGGCGTCTAGGGCATCGAGAGCGTCGAGAGCGTCGAGGGCGAGGGCGTCGGCGATGGCGCCGTAGCAGGCGGGCAGCGACGCCGACCGCGCAAACGGCCGCCCCGCGCCCGGCCCGTTCGCAGGCGCCGGCGACGCGTACAGCGAGCGCGTCGACTGCGCGCCCACGCGTTCGTACAGCGGCTCCTGCAACACACGCGCACACGCACAGGCGCGCTCAGGCCGGCTGCGACGGCTCAGAGGAAACACCGTTATTAATGTCCACCGTATTTTTAAGCGACGAGGTCCTACTGGGGCTCGAGTCCCGACGGTAACGAATTTTCGACACCAGCTCCACAGTCGAGTGGAATTTGACCTTTGTCTGGAGGACAATTCCAGAGGCTGGCGGCTCTGATCGGTAATTTTCCGAGGCTTAAAACCTGTCGAAAACCGAAGGAGTGCCCAAACAAGAGGACCACGCGCGATCTTGACTTCCTCATCCTTTCCCCTCCGTTCTTTTTACACGTGTGTACACACTTAGAGGAAGGGGGTATGTTCGAAAACATGTGAAGGAACGCGTTTGATTTACGGTTTTCTCGTATGTATGTTGTTGTTATACCTTTTGAATTAATCAACGCATTTTTATGATTAAATAGCCAAATTATCTTTTTTAGCGTGTTAGTGATATAATCCATATAGAATCACTTAAAAATATGGCGGTCATTAATAAGGTAATGTAATCGAGGTCCCATGTCAATCGGTTTAAAATTTAGTTTTTATTTAGGCTACATCGTAGACTTTTTATTTCCCCATTGAACCATTTAATCTCTCAAAATAACTTTCTTGGGACTGAAATATATGAAACACTAGCTATTCTACCCCTCTATCATTTGAAGAAATTGAGATAGAGAGGTATGGTTCTCAACAGAACTAGCCGAGAGTGGGCTCGTAGGAAACAAAATTTCAGCTGTGGCACATTTATTGATAAAACTTTGACAATTTTTAAAAAGTAGGGCCAGATCCATTCACGGAAATAAAGAGAAATATATACAAATTCAAGTAAATAAAGTAAGTTAATTACGCACTAGAACTTATTTCCCACTGGACTCAAAAATAAAAGAACCTGCCACGACGTCGTCGGGATCAGTTATGAGTGTTAGTTGCGGAGAGGCCATCTTACGTCGTTTATTCGGTGCCTATTTGACCAAGAGCTTAAGAATAGGAAGCCATCAAATCTGCAATAAACTTCCCTTTAAGTAGACAAAAGATCAAAAAGAGCATTATGTACATTGATAGCGCCATGCAACAATACATGTGTGCATGATTTGAAGATCTGAAACAGAACTTCAATATTTGTCGAGAGGGGAGGATTTCAGGCAAGTGTCAAGGTGAGGGTGGAGGAGTAAGCTCGCATCTAAAAGTGCATACCTACCGCCTAACTTCGGCTTCAAAGAGAGCACAAGCCACGCTTAGTGCCTTAAATTAACATTGACGTCGAATATCGTCGGTGCCCAATAAAAGTGACACATCTAAAACCTTTGCAAAGTGACACATCTCATTTTGCAGTTGAACAGGTTTCATCTTGGCGCACCTGATTACTTCATAAGACAAAGTTTTACTCTACATCTCAGTTTTTTTGTAAACTAACTTTATAAAATTGTTACTAGAAAAAATAAACGATTTTATAAATTGCATTTCATAAAACTAAAAAAAATATATTTTTGAGAGTTGTCACCCATTTATTGTGCACCGAGGACATGTAAGCGCCGTCACCACCAAAGCATTAAATCAGTCAAGTATTATTACTTGATAAATATAAGTAAAATGCAGTGATATCAGGCGCTCGCCAAGAGGAATCTTGGGACTATCTAACTCGCTCTTTTAAACACCTCGCTCTTCTGCACTTCTCGTGAAACGTTCATTAGATAATATACCAAAACCTATGAGAAAACATTCTTCATGTATTTCGCGTAGCCGGTTGGTAGAAACGTATAAGTGGGAGTATAAGTGTTGTAGCACAAACATACGTTTGTTCATCAAACTTAACCACTGGGAAATTAGATTTTCAAGGTTTCTTCTCGATTTTAGAAATTTCACTATCTAATAATTAAAATTCAAAACAATCTCCTCTTGTTTTTTGAAGAAGCATCCGTTTTTCAGACCATCACAAACTCCAGGAAAATCACATAAATTGGAATGAAGATTCGACGCTAACTTCGAAAAGAAAACGAACGGGGTGAGGCTGCGGTATCGCTATGTTCAAACGCGTGAAGATCTCTGGCAAAGATGTAGCAGAAGACATACAGCAGGTTGTGGCATGCGCTCTCCACGCATACGCACACGCACGCATGCTTGCACACATACACCGGCGGAGACTCGGCATACTGCGGGGCGCCTCCATCCTAGTAATACACGAACAATTATATACTTTCTCTTAATGTATGTGTTTAATTATGAGTTTAGTGCATGTGATGATATGATCTCGGACGAATTTCATCTAACAGCATTTTAACAAGAGCGGTAAGTTGACCCTTGGCTCGCCGTGCTGGTCAAGCTAGTATTGCATTCTGGCTGTCAGTTATAAAACATATTTCGTAAAGTTCAATGTATTCTCTTATTTCACATTTTTCGTGCTTTCTTACAATCAACATTTAAAGATAAATATCATCATCATCATCATTATCACTGAGTAAATAACGTCGATATTTGTTAGGAATTCACTGACGTTTCTGGCTCTCGGTTATTATACTGCCCTTTGACACCCGATGCACCTGCATCAGCCTCTCTTTTCTTCGCACCGCTAAGGTCCATTCTGTAATTTAATGAGTTTAATATTATGATTTATGCTCATTCCGACCAATATTGTAGAATTTTCTTAACCAAGAGGCATGCTACACCTGGACCTTTTGTCAACAAATTTCGAAGGTCTGTGAATTTTCAGATGTGTTGAAAATACATTTAATTTAGCGAAAAGAATTGGACAAATAAATAATTTGTCGCAATAATTTTACTGGTCAATAACGTATTATTTCCTCCAGGATAATTAATTAGTTGTAAATTATTTCTCATACATATATATTGTTAAATAGGTACAACCCATCTCTCTGAACTGTTGTAGCATTGACATAAATTCGTTACTTATTATCTGAATCGTTAATCGCACAAACAAGGAAATTATACGCCGTTTAAATATAAATTTACTTGAAATTATCATTTATATTCTTATAAAATTAGAATTATTCTTTATTACTTGCGTGTCAATCAAGGTTTACACAAAAACATGTTTACATGTGACTTAGTGTCTGCGGACTCATGTTCTCTAACGCATGATTACATCAAAGGAAACTAAATAACTTAATGTTTTTATGTTTGACAGATGAAATAATTCGAAGATGTATAATAATATTTTTTCTCGGACAATTATTAGGCGACTGCGTGAGGTTTTATTTTGCCGTGCTTAAAGATGCGCAATTTCTAATTGGTAAATTTAGGGGGGAAAATCGTTACAATTGTTCACGCTTCTGTGTTCTGAACTTGAGTTTTAAGAGAAAGAAAAAGCGAAATTTATTACGTGGTTATTACAACAGACGATTTCAAGAAGTGCATTTCAAAACTGTCTAAGAATGTCAGGTATTATTTTTTAACATTTCAATGAAACATTCAATTCAATTACTAAGATAAATTAAAAATTACAATATTTTCATAATGTAAAAATAGTTAATATTTATTTCAAATTATCAGAAAAAGATAATAAATATCAAGAAAAGTTTGTACACAACACTTGTTCATAATTATGTTGGCAGCATTGCGTGCGAAATTTTTGAACTTGGCTCAGTCGGTCTATGAACTGTGCGCGAGTGACATCGTTTGGAGTGGTTGCTGCTACTGCCGGGAAACAAGTTGGTGACGGGATATAGGTGAGTACGATTTGAATTTATTCCTCGCATAATAGGATTACATATAATTATAATGTAATAATAACCAAAATATACTAATGTTCGCGTCGGAAAAGCTAGCAGTTGAAATATATAAAATAAGTTTGCTTGAATCAGTTTGATGCAATGTTTCATTAGACGTTCATATTTTTGTTTCTAAGTAAAGACACCATTTTCAAATTCTCCAATGTCGAATTTTAATAATTGCTAATATGATCGATAATGTAGTTGAAGTGTGTTCCTGTTGCAAGTTCCTCGTGTTGATGCCCTGTCCCTATTCACTGCTCAAGTGTCGCGTTCACTTCATCTGTCCGTACGACTGCCCTTGAGAACTGCGCCGTTGTGAGTTCAGGCGACTCTGGACATTCACGACGCCGCAATGGCAATGGCAATGAACGCTGTTCACTCTTACCGAAATGATTCATTAGTTCTTCGGCTACAGACAGGAGACCGCACTCTATTAGCAATTAGAAAGCCTCGAGACCGCACTTCGTTTTCGACAATGGCGACCTTGCGTCCAACCGGTACAGTCATCGGTTGACGGATACGAAGGTCTTCGGGATTCGGAATATTTAGGCATAGAAATTAATTTAGTAGTGGCGTTAAAGGAAATTATAATAAAGTATTGTACTAAAAAATTGGCACCGCGTAAGTTAGCCATAGCAAAGATCTTGGAAACAGTTTGAGGTATCGGCGAGCAATCTTAACGAAGTTGTTGTAGATGATAGTTGCAATATTTTGTTTTCTCATTTATTATTTTGTAGATATTGACAGACTGATTTTTTAAATTGAAGTACATATTATTTTGACGTGTTAAAAGTTTTTAACAAGAAAATGCAAGTATTATTAATAGTTCGAAATTCATTTTTGTGAAAGTCATTTTTGTGAAGTTGTTGTAGATGATAGTTGCAATATTTTGTTTTCTCATTTATTATTTTGTAGTTATTGACAGACTGATTTTTTAAATGGAAGTACATATTATATTCACAACTTGTTAAAAATTTCTTAACAAAACAATGCGATGATTTAAATATTATTAATAGTTCGAAATTAATTTTTGTGAAAACACTGCAAATATTTGAAAACGCCCCGCTGCAGCGCGCAAGGGCGGCAAATCGCCGGTGCACGTCACGCCGCGCGCCCAGGTGTATCGTTAAAACTTAAACTCTTACTAAAACATTGGAAAATTTACTTTTGACCGGATGGGACGCAATTATTCAAAGGAATAAATATAACTTCACTATCTGTTCACGTATTCTAGAGTTCTGTGGGAAAGATGGTTATTCCAATTATCGTTCTCCATGTTCTTACGAAGTAGGAAGGTCACGATGTAGACAAAATATAGAGCTAATTTGCCTTTGGAAATAGTTTTTAATACTTTGGAGGAAATGTTTCTTTTCAATTCTTGCCAAATATTCTATTTGTAATCAGGATTAAACTTGTATATGGGTTAGGGTAGGGATCCCAGAATTTAAGGAAACGCGCACAGAAATAAATTTTATCCCCATAGTACGTCACACACTTTTTTAACTGCTTTTGACGTTAAATAAATGAATAAATAAGCTTCAATTCGAAAATAAAGATGTAACGAAGTTATATTCGGATTGAATAATAGTCCTACATTTTAATCGGAGGGTAAGCGTGCAGACACGTCTATTTGTGTTATTGGTTGTCAAGTAAAAGCAGAGACGTTTCCCTGAGATCATCTAAGATTCGTACCCGTCAGTAGGATAGGATTGTATAGACACAGCATCCTAGAAATTAATCTCTCACTCGGTTACATATTAGAAGTTATACAACCACGATGTTAATTGCAAACAATTTTTAATTTTCCTTGTTGAGATTTTATGGTTTCTTGCGTCCAAAGTTACTTCAATCCAGTTGTGTGAAAGGTCTCTTCTGCTTGAGCATTTCCATTAGGAAATTCATTTTATGTATTTGAACATTGCGACATTTGATACTGTAGTGCCTCTAAAGGTTTCTCTCAATCTTACTTTTGGTTGCAGTAGATTTTTTGTCAATCTACAAAGAATTAATATAAATATAAAATAAAATAATTAATGATATTATTGTGACCGGAAGTAGTAATATTCTTTATCGATTCTACAATGGCGAATCTTATCGATCAATTATAGTATACCTTGCGCCATTTTATGTAACCTAGGTTCCGATCAGCTTTAATGAATTTTACTTTTTGTCAGTGTATGAACGTTTAGTACAAAAGGAAACGAAAAAATACGTATTGCACTGTAGAGAAAACCGAAAAGTTTGTATCACACGTTTTGCAATAAAGAAAAAAATAAAATGTTTCATTTGAATAATCCGCGGCCTTTTTTGATTAGTAACTTACAGCTGCAACCGACAAAGGATTAGTAGGTTTCGTGTCAAGCTGATGAGCGCTTTACTAGATTTTGTAAGCGCAAGTGAGAGAAGGGGTTTATGCATTTGTTCTCCTCACTTTTGGGTAGAAGAGCATAGAGGTGGTTCGCCGCTAACTTCCATTGCATGAAGGATTGCAGGATGATCATGAGTGGTTAGTGATGGCGATAGGATTGGCATATGAATGGGATGATGATCCGATGAGCCACAAGGTGGTACGGAGAAGCCAGGACCAAAGCTCTACTCCGATTTAAATGTAGCTTCCCTTCAAGGTCACGAGATGGAAGGAAAGGGGGGGGGGCACTGTCATCACCCGGAAGCTTCGTTTCGACTTAAATTTTTGGTATTGAAGCTCCCGATTGGTTGAGAGTATCCCCCTCTCCCCTTCCAGCTCGTGACCTTGAAGGGACCCTGCATTTAAATCGGTGTGTAATGGAGAGGGCGCGAGATGCGTCAGAGGCAAGCGAAGCGAGCGAGCAAGCGTCTTACGGCGGCAGCGGCTCGGGGCGTGGCGTGGTGGGCGTGCGCGTGGGCGCGGTTGTGGTTGTGGTTGTGCACCTGCTCGTAGCCGGGGTCGTAGCCGCTGGAGCTGCTGGCGGGGCTGCTGCCGTCGGCGGGGGCGTGGCCGGGCGCGGGGCCGGGGCCGGACGGCGCCTCGCGCAGGCTGCCCGAGCGCGTGGGTTTGTGCGGCGCCAGCGCCGACCGCGCCTCCCCTGCGCACACAGCCACGGGCGTGGTCCTCGCTGGCGCTAGGGATGCCACAGCCACAACAAAATAGCGACGTTTGAAAACATCGGTGTTCAAATTTTCCAAATCGATGCTCAAAATACATCGACCCCAAATCATCGAGTTTTGAAACAAAAAAAAAGTTAACAATAAACAAAACTTACACTATCTGATTGGATAATACAAATGCATTACACTACATTTATCAACAAACATTCGTATTTGGTCTGTCGAAGTTCAATTTAGGATACCTGAAAACTATTCTAGTATTTATTATTATATTTCTTTCATTCAAAAATAAAATATGATATACATTTAGCACAAAACAGCAATGTTGAATGACATCAATTTTAAAAAAATCGATGTTTTTATAAAAAATATCGATGTTTTGAAAACATCGACAAAGACGTTGCATCCCTTGCTGGTGCTTGCGAGAGATGTCACCACGAGACACTAGACGAGTCTCTTTCGCTAACGAGTTTCACTTCGCCCGAGCACTTTTCGAACGCGTTCCTGTCGTTTTCACGAAAACATGGATAAAAATTACACACACGATACACATAATCAAATGTTTGTGTCTCATCCTGTTTCTTTTCCCGTTCAAGAATTGGCACCGTAATATCTGCGAAGGAAGGCGAAGAACGAGGTCATTCTGATACGTAGTTCAAATGTGCGCGGTTGCACCTAATGACATCAGTTAAGAGTCTGGATTAACGTTTCTGCAAGCACACAATATTGTGCACAAAGGAAAAAAGTGAGCGTCATGTTACGTAGTCATAAAGTGCTTTCAATTACATTTTTCTCTAACAAACTACCCGACAAAAACTTGGCATTAAATTGGAAATTAATTGGCATTAAGTTGGAAATTAGCCGTTTGGCAGACTCAACGATGTTTCATGTCAATATAATACGTGGAAGGCGGGAGCGTCGTCTACAACTAGGACACGCGTAGGGAAGTGTGAACTGCGCCTTAATAAATATTGTTAAATAAAGTGCAATTCCGCTCACAGTTCCGTTATTATCTGCGATGATCACGTGGGTGTTAGTTGATTCTTTGACTTAGAGAATGATAAACGATTAGAGTCGTTTATTTTTCTTGTCAGTACATATACATTAAGAAAAAAGAACTTTAGTAAACTTGTTTCCAGAATTTCAACGTTAAATTTATTTATTACGCTCTAGCAATGTGATTCATTAAGTGTTATTATTAATTTCAAAACGTTTAACTTTAAGTTTTCTTTACCGTAGTCGGGAAGGTGATGGCTACTCGTTCGAAAAGTGCTTTGGCAAAATAAACCACGAGAGCGAGAGAGTTCATTCTATTTCATTAACGAAATTCAAAGATTCAATGTCACTACTTATTGGAAGGACAATACACAATTCTACATCACAAAGGAGATATAATGAAAAATCATAATAATGTAATTGGATTAAACATTAATATATACGCTGAACATTTTACATTATTTTAAAAATATTATAAACATTTTTTACTGTCAGTTAAGATTGGTTTTAATCTTGTTTTATTTCGTGACATTTGTTTAATGTTATATACATTGACAACGAAACCATTATTTTCTAATTATCTTCAACATTTCGTTAAAAAAAGAAGTAAGCTGGATTTCGTGT